AGAACTTCAAAGGTAAATACTTTGAAGTTTCTTTTTTTTTACTTCTTTAACGATTGTTATACTAATGATCATTTTTTCTTCTATGTTTAGGTCCCAGACTGCTGGGTTAGATATTTCGAAGCTGCTTGCTTCAAAATTTTTTTTCGTTTGTAGGTATCCGTTGTTTGTTGGAATCGAACAAACTGGAACAATGTCCAAACAATTAACAACATGTAAATGTGCAGTAAAGAGATGATGAATAGCAATGACTAGTAATAGATTTCAATTGTATTTGTAAACTTGTTAATATATAATAAAAAAGTAATTTTGATTATATAAATAAATTAGTAATTAATGCAATAAATTAATTTGTATTATTGTGACGCAGATTTTTACTGAAAAAAATTGCTGAGGTATTTTGAAGGTTTTTATTTAAAAATCTGCGCAGAACTTTGTTATTTATAAAATCTGCGCAGTTTTTTATTGGATTTTTCCTCTAATGTTTTGCGTCAGGGTATAAGATCTGCGCAGATATAATTTCTGAAAATCTGCGCAGATCTGCTTCCCAAAAAATTTCCCGATGATACCTTCACGCTATTGAATGTAGCGTCTGCAATAAAATTCATTTTATTTCTGTGATCGGCGGAATTGAACCTACGACCTCACCATACTTAGGCTATATGAGGGAGTATCGCTTTAACAACTGCACTAGGATGATCAGCTCTTAGTTTATTTTTTTACTTTACTAGTGTTTACGGCTAAAGCTCCTAACAGTTCGGGCTAAACTGGGGAACTGATCCAAAACTGGCTCAAGATTTAGTTCGGTTCAGTTCGGGTATTAGAACTGAAAAACTGGTGGTTCGGTTTAGTTTAATCCAATTTTTTATAAAAATGCGAAAAATCAAATAGACGCTCATTTAGTGATCGTACAAAGTCGAGCCATATATCATTGGATTCGTCTCGACGAAACGTGTCAAATAGTGGTAAGATCATATCTCTAGCATTGATAGATCACACGTTAACTCACGCTAAATGATTTATCAATAATTGGAATTATTAAGCTATCTATCAATGCTAGAGACATGATCTTAGCGTCATTCGACGTGTCTCAGCGAGATGAATCTAATGAATATAAATTCGTCTGTATACGACCACTGAATGGCGAATAATGTTAAGTTTTGCATTTTTTTAAAATTTTCGAGCGTTAAAAATTAAAAATTCTGATACATGAATTTATTCGTCATCCAATGGTCGTACAAATATGAATTAGGACTCATTGGATTCGTCTCGATAAGTTGAGTCGAATGGTGGTAAGATTACGTCTCTAGCATCGATATATAGCTTGCTAATGCCAATTTTTTATAAATCATTTAGTGGAAATTAACTTACGATCTATTAATGCTAGAGATATGATCTTACCACCATTCAACTCGTCTCATCGAGACGAATCCAATGAATACTAATTCATATTTATATGACCATTGGACGATAAATAAATTCATGTATTGGAATTTTTAATTTTTAACGCTCAAATATTTTAAAAAAATGCGAAACTTGACATTATTCGCCATCCAGTAGTCGTACATGGACGAATTTATATTCATTGGATTCGTCTCACTGAGACGCGTGGAATGACGCTAAGATCATGTCTCTAGCATTGATAGATAGCTTAATAATTCCAAATATTGATAAATCATTTAGCGTGAGTTAACATGTGATCTATTGATGCTAGAGACATGATCTTACCACCATTCGACGCGTCTCGTCGAGACGAATCCAATGATATATGGATCGACTTTGTATAATCACTAGATGGACGGCTATTCAATTTTTTGCATTTTTATAAAAATCAGATTAAACTGAACTGAACTGCCAGTTTTTTGGTTTGGTTCTTACAGATTTTGGCTCTAATCTGAACCGTCTATAATCCGGACCAAACTGACCTGTTCGGAGCTTTATTTACGGCCATACCTCTTTTTAAGGCATCATTGGGCTAGTATCCTTTTATCTCCATAGGCAACCATTATACCAAGTACTTAATTCCTCAGGTAATAGCACCACTATTGAAGACATCTCCTATCGGGCCACTTTTAAGGCTGATTTGAAGCTAGGAATACGCCGCCTACTCATCCTATACCCATTGCATGATACTGGTACTTAATTTATTTTGTGACATTTAGAGAACACCTACTTTCATGGAGGACTTTTGACAGGTAACATCAACCATCTAGTACCTTTTTATATCACCATTTTAGGTACTAAGTCTTACTCAAAGGCCACTACAGCCCGTGATTACCTATACACCTAGTGACCTTAAGGATAGGACTGCGCACATACCAATGACCTCTTAGGGAATAGTAGAAGGACATCATGACCTTTGTTGAAATATGCTTGCTCAAAGTATACTAATTTACCATAATGCAGTCCAACTACACTAATCCCTGTACTTTCACGCTATTGGTGGTAGCATCTGCAGTAAAATTCATTTTATTTCTGTGATTGGCAGAATTGAACCTACGACCTCACCATACTCAGGCTATATGAGGGAGTGCCGCTTTAACGACTGCACTAGGGTGATCAGCCCTTAGTTTATCCTTTTACTTTTACTGGTTGATAAGTTATTCAACAAAATGTTAAACATCAGCGCATATAGGCTGATTTATACATGCTGCCCAAATTATTTTGGAATGCCATAATTATAATTTGGAATGCCATAATTCATTCGGTTTATATATAATTTACTATGTAAAGTGCCAAAATAATTTGGGATGCCATAATTGAATTTGGGATTTTACTTATAATTATGGCAGTCCAAAATAATTTGGGTGGTATGTATAGGCTGATTTGTCTACTCTGCATTAAAAAGAGTTATTGAATTGATTTACACAATTTTCGTTACTCAAAATTGTTTTGTAATACCAAAAAATCATCTGATTGATGATCACTTGACTAAATAATAAGTTGAACAAAAATTTACATTTGCAAAACTTAAATTATTAAATGTAAAAGAGCTGTGAAAAAACCCATTTCACTAATAAAAACCCCATTTCTCATATATATGGAATTTTTAACATATATTATTAAAAAGTAAGTATATTTTAATAAAATATAAAGTAAAATAAAAATTTATATAGTCTTAGTAGCTATAAATGTTTATAAAAGTATAATAAAAATATCATATAAAAGATGGTATAATAATAGATATTTTCAAACAATAAAAATAATTATTTTATGTCAGAATTTGTATTACCATCTTTAGACGCAAATATATCAAGATTCACTGATCCGTTTTCTATAATTTTAGGCTCGTTGGAAAGCCCTTGTTCTGGACTTTATAGTCGAAAAAAGAGCTCGCCGATTGAATCATTAGATCCAGAGATATTTACGTTTAAAGTTGAGGTACAAACTTTTTAACATGCTTAAATGCAAATATCTTGGGATCCACTGATCCGTTTTTTATAAATTTAGGCTCTTCGGAAAGCCCTTGATCTGGTCTATATGAGCGAAAAAAGAGCTTGCCGATTGGATCATTAGATCTTGAGATATTTACGTTTAAAGTTGAGATACAAATTTTTAATATATATAGTAAGTGCTAAAAATTATATTAATTTAAAAGAAATATTTACCAACTTATAGTATAATAACATTAAATAAAAGTTTTTTAATACTCACCCCAATTTACTGTATATTATATAGTATTTTGTATAATAAAAATGTAATAAAATCAATATTTTAATTAAAGGTAGACAAATCAGCCCATATGCATTATAATATTTCTTGATTTACGTTTATTGCGCCATTTAACATTTTGCTAAATATCTCGGTACCTAGTGATTATAAAAAGACGATTTATAGCTCGTTGGAATCACCTCATCGAGACGAATCGAATGGTAGTAAGATCGTCATTCTAGGATCAATATTGGCAGAGTTCTTACACAAAAACTTTTAATATTTTTTTTAATTTCGAAAATTAATCTAGTGATTGGATTTCGATGTATTTTATACCATTAGAACCGTCTCATCAAGACGAATCGAATGGCGGTAAGAACATCTCTCTACGATTAACATTGGCGGAGTTATGATACAATAAAGTTTTAAGTATAATTCTAGCTAAAATTATGTTAATTTTTGGCCGGAATTATGATATACAAATATAAGAAATTTTTTATATAGTCACATCTCTTTATAATCACCAAATATAAACTGTCCCAAATGTGTGACTATAAAGAGAGTTGACTGTAATATCAGGGGTATATATTATACTTAAGCTATATTATCACTATAAGTGTAATTTTATAGAAAGAAGAATTCTACTTACTTTTAAATTTTAATAAATTATAAGATAAATTTATATGTAAAAATTTTGAAATTCCTATTATATATAAATAAATTACATATAAAAAAGGAAATTTTTTTTCTTTTTTGACTAATAAGATTACTGGTAAAATTACTAATAAATTTTTTTATTATAAATAAGTGGAAATAAATATACAATTTATATAGTACTGTATAATTTTTAAAAAAAAATTATAGGAATAAGAAAGTGTTTGTAATTTATAGTTTATTATTTCAATATATATTTTTATAAATATTTTATCTTTTTAAAAAATTATATAATTTTATTTTTAGTTTAGTATTTATATTTTATGACTTTTATATAATTTAAATAAAAATAAAGGTGGCTATACTCTAAATTAATATATTACAAATAAATTTAATGATAAATTATATTGAAAAATTTTATGAATTTAAATATTTAATTAAATTTTTTAAGCATATAAAAATAAATCACCCTCTAAACATCCTAATATTAGGAGTTGATTAATAGGTAATATTTCTAAACAAGTTATTGAAGATTTAACAATAGAGCTTTTAAATTTGGATGAATAAGTTTGAAACTGATTATGAAATATAAAAAAAAAAATTAATAAATTAAATCAAATTTAAAAAATTCAAAATTAAAAATAATTTTAATTTCTTACATTTTCATTTAATGGAGAGAATGTAATATTATTATTGTTATTAATTGTAATGACTTCATCTTTATACATATTTAATGCTATTATATCTGAATTAACTAAAAAAAAAATAAATTTAATATAATATTTAAGATAATATTGTAAAATTTAATCATTATATAATTATTTACTTACCTTTAACAGTATTTATTAAACAACCATTATCAGTATTCCAAATATAAATAATATGATCTGTTGAAGCACAAGATACTAAGAGATTATTTGCATAAAATTTTAACTGTATTATAAAATAAAAAAATTCAATTTATTAATTAATAAAATTTTAAAAAAATTCATATAATCACTTACATGAGTAATATCAGTATCACTAGCTTTCCAACTATAAATTAATGTTCCAGTTCGTGATTCTAATAGTGAAATAATTCCACTAGAAAATCCAACTGCAATTAAAGTTTCACTTGGATTAATACATATAGTTTTTATTATACCAGTAAAACCTAATCCACTTTTCCATGAATGTAAAAGACTAGAGGACATAGTATCAAAAAATCTATTGCAAATAGGATAAAGTTAAAAAATTTTAGCTAAATTTATAAAATTAATTTTTTGTTAACTTACGTAATTGTTGTATCAGATAAACCTCCAACTAAATATCTTGTTCTAAATATAGGTTTAATTGATAAATATGGAATTCTTAAATTTCCAAATTGATGTAAAGTTATTCCAGTTTCAGGATCCCATATCTGTAAAATAAATTGATTTAATCTTTTTTTCTTAAATTAAAAATATTTTCTTAAAAGAAATTTACTTACATGAATTTGTCCATCACAACTAACAATATGATTACCTAATCCCCAACTTTCACCTCTACTAATAAAATAAGTATCTAAAATTGTATTTTTTTTATGTCCTGTATATGTTTTTAAACATTCTGAATATGGTTCATTTAAATTATTTTCTATTCCATGATGAATATTTAAAGACCATAATTTAACTGTACGATCTTTTGATCCTGATACAATTAATCGACTATATTCGTTTGTGTTAATAGAACGAATAGCTGATCCATGTCCTATTATTAATAAAAGAATTAAAAAAGGCTTTAATTTTACAGAAAAATTATAATTTTTTACCTTGAAATGTTCTTAATTTTAAATCATTAAATGTAAATTGCATAGAATTTGACATTTCCTCTAATAAAGATTTTAAATGTAAGTATATTATATGTATAAAGTAAAATTTAATTTAGAATTAATATACCTGAATTTGTTGATAAAAATCTAGTCCAATTTCTGTAATTACAATAAATTTTATAATTTAAAAATAACATTTAATCGAAAAAAAAAAAATTATTATAATTTTACTTACTTTAAATCTTCTTGAGAAGAATTTTTAGTTTTCCAAGATAAATTAATTCCTTTTAATTTTGATCTAAAAAAAAAAATTTTAGTATAAAAAAAAATCATCATTTTTTTTATATTAACTTACTTTTTAACATTTCCAGAATTATTTTTAGAAGGTATTGATGTCGATAATCCTCCAACACTCATTTTTCTCGTAGTTCTAATAGGAGATCCTCGTTCTCCTATATTTGTTATATTATTGTGGTTGATATCTAATAATTTTCTACTAGTAATTTCTCCACTACCAAGTAAACTAAATGTTCGATTTACACTAAATTCTGACGTAGTCATTGCGGTTGCTGTAGTTGTAATAATTGCTTCTTTTGTTGTAAAATTATTTGTATTTGTTAATAATGGTAAATGTTTTTTATCTTCATTTATATTTAAACGTAAACTAGTTGAAGAAGTTGTTAATAAGGAAGAAACAGAACTTTTTTCTTTATGTAAAGTATTATCAGATGATGATGATATTATTGATACTTGATCACTTGGAATTTCTGCTGATGAAAGTGATGGAGACATCGCATGAAGTGAAGATGAAGTTGAATTAGAATAAGATCCCGAAGGAACTAAACTAGCTGTTTCGAAAATATTACTATTAGGAATAATTTGTCTAATAGTTTCAGGTTCAAATAATATACAAAATTGTGAATACGCATATATAATCTATAAAAAAAAAATATTAATGAAATAATTTTTATAAATTTCAGTATAGAAAAAAAATGTTATTCACCTGTTGATCTCTTTCCTGTTCAAGCCTACTTAATGTAGCTTCATCCATATTTCCATTACTTTGAACCGATTTTTCAAACAATTCAAAATATTTTATCAGAATAGGTGCAATCTAACATTAAATTTAATAAAAATTTTAAATAAATTTAAACGAATAATTTCTCTTAATAGTTAACTTACATGTTTTTTCCACTCAACTTTTCCAATATTATTACAAATATGTAATATGAATTCCATTGTTTTTACACTAATTGACAATTTATTTTTCATTATCTGTGTTAATAAATTGCTTTTTTTATTAGTATTATTTACTTCTTTTTTATTAGTTATACTAGTTGACTTAGAAACATTAGCATCAGATTCTTCTCCAAATAATAGTAATAATTTAGTTAAAATATCTGATAGTCCTGATTCTATTTCTGTTAATATTTTAGAACTTGGCATTAATGTCGTTAACTAATTTTAAAAATAATAATTTAATTAGATATAAAATAAATAAGTATTAAAAAAAAAAAAAGTTAAATACCTTTCCTAACAAAGATAAATGATTACATAATATTATATAATTCTTATTATTCATTGTAAAATAACTATATTGTTGCAATATACCCATTACTTGAGAAAATTGTAGTTGTATAAATGTTTCTCCAAATTGATTTCCTTTTAAATAAATATATATATGTTATTTTATTATTATTATTATATATCAAATAAATACAAATTTTTTTACTTACCAATAGCCAAAACACTTTGCATTAGAAAATTTAAAGTAGGACTTTCTCTTAAAAACATTTTATAAACCTGCTTCATAACATATTTATTGCTCAATATAGGACCAATTAAAGTACATATATCTACAAGCGCTTCATTTGCTAACTGTGCTACACTTGGCAATGCATTGTCCAAACTAGCGCTTATTGTTGATGCCGGACCTGACATAATTTCTTTTCCTGATAAATATTTTGTATTTTTTAAATTGAATTGATTATCATAGCTGTGTTGGGTTTCTATGTCAGTTGTAATTCCAAATGTATATGGTAACACGTTCTCTTCGATTGTTAAAGACTCCAAATAAAGTGGAAATAACTGCTGAAGAAAATTAGGAATTCCAAATTTATGTATAAATTCCTCAATTATAGCAGAATCAAATAGAATTTTTGGGATCGAAGGTCTTGAAGACTAAAATGTTAAATTTTAATGAATAACAAAGTATAATCATATTACAAAATAATTTACGAAAATTACCTCAAATAAGGAGACAATAGGTTTCAAAAGATGGGCTTTGGTTTCATCTTGTCCTAGTCTCTGACCAAGCTTTGAAAAAATATTCAATGCCTCAAACTTTATAGAATCATTTGTAAATAATAATACTAAGCTTGGCAATATCATATAAAATGCCTTATAAAAATATTAAGATATTAAAAATATATATATATAATGTAATATACAATTAAATTCTAAATTTAATCTATAATTATACCTCATCAGTAAGATTACACAACTTATCCATCCAGTGTTCGGCTAATTTTAATCTACCAATCCAATCTCTATTAAATAAAAAAAATCAATATTTAAGTAATCCATTTCCTAAATCCTCATTTAAAATGTTCTAATATATCTTACACTTGATGAAAATCCGTTAAAAACTCGTAAACTTCCGGTATACAATCAGGTAATGGCAAAGTAGTACCTTGATCGTGTAAACTCATTACCGGTACTGAACAGTATAATATTGCATCAATTGATGGACGTTTCCTCCAATCTGGATCAGTTAATGAAGAAATAATCTCTTGAACTGGTAATGGAAACTTATAAATATATAAATATTAAAGATTAAATTTAATAAGTTTTCTAAATTTTATAAAAAATTATAATCTAGTAAAGTAAATTATATGTTTAAAATTACCTTGCAAATATTTTCTTTTTTATTTTCTTTGTTCTTTGTATTACATAACAATGATAAACTTGTAACGTTTTTTGAAGTGTCATAAATGTTTTCAATAATCTTTCCAAAGCAATAAGCATCCCATGCTCTTCCATAAACAAAAGAAGTTTCATTTGATTTCATTATCCCATCATGAATCGATGCACGCTTCGATTGCGAATCTTGAACAATGTCTCTCTTACCAATATTATTTTGTTTAGAGTTATCCCGATTTGGTACATATTTTGTAGCAAAAGAATGTGCTTGTTCAAAGTTGTTCAATTTCTCTATAAAAAATTCGTTTCTCATATCATCAGGTAAATGTATTGGTATAGCATTGATCAATGATGTCAATGTTTCAACACGATCTTTTAAGTCCGAATTTGTTACCATAACTGTCGTAGGATGGGTAGGATGGTCTTTCTTTTCATCAAGATTATTGATAATCCCATATAAAGATAACGATCTCGATGTTGCAGGTTCAAGTTTTGGTGATTTTGAAATTTTACTATTAGATGTAGTAGATTGATGATACGATTTTCCTATAGTTTTCTCTGATCCATTAATATTAAGAAAATCTGTTAAAGTTTCTGATGTTGTCTTGAAATCTGTTTCTATCATTTTTAATGGAATTCTTCTTTTTGAAGACATTATTTCATAATTTTCCAATAAAGTCCTGTCTTCATTCTTATACACAAGTGAATGTTGTTTGCTAATCTTCTGTACGGATTTTTGTGGATGTAGATCAGAAAACAACTGTGTAATTCCATGTTTCATGAATGAGTTATGTCCATTAATAAGTGGTAACGCAACATTCTTTGCTTCTATAGCATCCTCACCTTATGTACATCAAATTAATTTATATTAGAAGGAATTCAAGTAAAATAGTTTATACTAAGTAATCTAGAAATACCGCTAAGTTTACACCCGAATGTCAAATCTATCCATAGATTTAAATTACTTGACACATAATCACTTTCCAATGCTTCAGAATGAATTCTTATGAATTCTTCAGCAGAAGATGCCCACCTAAATGACAATACATAATTATATTAACAATTCAAATTAAAAAAAAATTATTGTATGTATATATATTTACACTGGCAATTGTAAGTCAGGCATATCCGGATGTATCGAAGTAAATATACTTGGATCTATTAATCAAACCCAATATAATTATTCATTAAATAATAAATAATGATATTCTTATATTTTATTATTTTTTTACCTGTATAAAATTCGGGAATACATTCATCAGGCGTCCATTCAAATAGTCTTTGTAAAGATGATGGATATTCATTTGGTTCATATTTTGTCCTCACATATTGACACAATATCTATATAAAAATATTTTTTAAAAAATAAATTTAACTTTGAGTTCGAGTTTTTATATTACACATACCGGAATGGGTGTTTTTCGTGCAAGATAAACATAATATGTAATGTCCGACAAAATATCCGTAATATGGTGAGGTACTGGCCCATCAAATGTAAAGTCCAACTGTTCATCACCTAGGATAATAATTTATGATACCTTATATAAAAGAAAAAATTTCAAATTTATCTTTTCCAGTATCTATTTAGCTAACCTTTATTGAGACGAAATTTTGTTTTTGTAAAATCTCTCCAATTTTGTGAAATATCTAGCCCAGTAAAATCTGTTATCCATGGAAATATTGGATGAAAATTTGGATCTCCAATTCTACGTCCTATTTAAAAACAACACGCAAGATTTAAAATAAGATGCTATCACAATACTCAATGTAACAAATAATAATATATTAATAACAAACCGGCAAGATAATTTAAGGACATTATATAATCGAAATTTGATATATCTCCTCGCACCCACTTCATTGTAAGCGTATCATCTTGTATTTCTGCGAATATTATATTAACAAGAAATTGTTTGTTATAAGATAATATTAATTTAATAATCATATTTAACAAACCTTTTGGAATATTTCCCAAGACAATTTCTTGTGTGCATTGAGCTAAAATATAAATTAATAAACTAATAAGTTAAACGTTTAACTTTAATAATTCCATTATATTTGTTATATACTTACACGTTGCATCATCGCAAACAGGGACTGAACATTCAAACCCAGCAATTGTGACCCATAAATTTTCATCCACAAAAATGTTTGATGGCCTGAGCCTTTCGAGTAAAATAAATATTTAAATATTTAAATATTTAATCTTAAAAATACTTTATTAATTATAAAAATCACATACCCTCCATGAATAACACCTTTCTGATGAAGTTTTTGTATAGTTTTTAATATTTGGTATAAAATAAATAACTTTTTAACATTTGAATTCAATATACCGGAACTAAATTTCAATAAATCCTGTAACGTAGTTCCACGATAAGGAGCCATAAAATAAAAAGCACGATCAGATTCTAAAACTGCAAAAACATCAATTAAATTAGGACTCGTAGTTGGCACGTCGGATGACCAATCAGGATCGGACAATAACTCCATGGATAATATATCCCCATTGTCAATCTCTGAATGTGGTGATTTGATACGGAAATAGGCGCTCTCTGGATACAATACTTCTATGAATTTTTTAACAAATACCTTGAAAGAATAATACAAGTATAATTAATTAAAATCCAAAATTAAATATTTACAACAATTATCCTAATATTATCTAATATTACTTTTTGTCTAGCTAATTGAAGCTCAAAATCATTTAAATCAGTTAGATCATCATCATTCTGAGAGTTTTTGTCTGGAACATAGTTATAATAATGCGTTTCGATATCTGCAAAACTTGATATCTCTTTTGCTTCAAGTTGCTCCTTGAGGAAAGTTCTTAATGGCACTTCAGTTTCCTCACCAAAATTGTGTAATGGTGCATTTTTGTCACAAGAATTGAATTTTGAAAACAATTGTGGCCTAAAATATGAGAAAAGTTAAATATCTTAGAACAATATAGTAATAAACGCAATTATTATTTATAATGAACTTCGTCGCAAAGCTCGTTCAATTGGTTCAATTGTATGCCTGACCTTCGATTATCCGATACTTGATGTTTCAAAAAAACGCTAACCAAGACATTTGTAGTAGATGATTGACGATCATCGGTATTCGATTGATCAGAATTATTAGAATTTAAAGGAGAACGATTATTATTGTTATATCGTTTTAATTGTATAGTTTCTCCAAACTTTGCCTGTTTTAAAGTGGCAAGCCAATGTTTATGGACCTAAAGCAATATAAAAATAAGAATTAGATAAATGTTACAACTTAATATTATCAAACTTTCTTTTCATACCACACAACAAGCAGTAGCTCCAGTCTGTTCTTCAACAGAAAAACAAGGAAAAGCGACATCAATATGTAATTCTTGTGCAATGATAGTGGTAAGTTCCTCTCTGGTTAATTTATCTATAGAAACCATTTCTAACGTGTGAAAATGATAAATTTATCGATTGATTACTAAAATATGTCGATCAGGAATTCTACTTTTTTAGTAATATGACTTTTATAATTGATCGATATGCACAAGATTCCACATGTCACTTATGTAATCAGGAAATCAGGGGCAAAAAGATTGATTTTTAGTATAAATATATTTCTTTGGGTTTTTGTGATTCTGTTTATTCTCTACAATCTTCGCCCTTAACTTATTCCAAATGGCTACATGTTTGACGGCTGATTGTCTGTCAAAAATTTTTTCATATTTTGATGCGGATCCGCATTCTTTACATTCATTTCTTTTGGTAAACCGTCATTGGTGTATCAATGCGGTACCAATATTATGGCGACGTACTTTTTATGTTACTGCACATGGACATTTTACGTCAAAAAGTAGATGTAGATTAATATCTACATATCTATCTTGTTTAACATCAGATTCGCTGAATTTAGATGACAGTGTATCAATCACATCTCATAAATCTGGTAGACGTGCATCATCATCAATAATAACAAAAAACACCTCTCCTTCTACACATCAAATATCACCAACATTTGATTATGCATCATTTTTGCGTGGATTTGATTACTTTCAAGTCTATCATGCAATTGGAAATTGGTATGCATATCAATCATCTGAAAAGAAAAAAACAATCAAGTTTATCGAAATCGTTGGGATAGACGATGACAAATGTAAAATACTTTTAACTACCAAAGAATTAATTAAATACATATTAAGTAGATCTCCAGCGATCGACTATTTAGCGTTGGACGCCGAAGCGACAGTGCCTTCTGAATTTATTTCAATCGGAAAATTTCAAGATCATACAAATTGTTTAGCTTACGTTCGAAAATTCGTATGTCGCGGTAATTCAAATAAATTAGATTTATATAAAACTTTTGCAAAAATTGCTACAAATGTTGAAAATATAACAATTTATGGAATTGGTAATGATGATTCACAAGCTGAAGGATTATCTAGTTTTATAAGAAAACAACGTAATTTAAGTAAATTTGTATTATGGGATGGAACGAAAGAGCAATTGCCAAATGTCATAAAAGCATTATCCGTTAATTGTGGAAAATTAAAATATTTGGAATTTAGATATTGTGATTTTGAAAATTTAAGACCATTGGAATTACTTACTGATGCTTGTTCAGAATTAACCACTTTAAAATTTATTCAATGTGGTGAAATTTCAAGCTACGTCATACCGTCATCTTCATTTTCAGATTTAAATGTTTTAGATTTACAGGGAACTCATTTTCCAGCCGATACATTAGAAACTCTTTTTAGTCGCGCAAATATTGACTTACGTTCAATTAATATTGAAGCAAATTCGCTTCGATATCCTCGTATGATAGAAAAGCTGGCTTCTTACTGCCCATATTTAACAAAAATTTGTGTGAGATTATCCAAGGATGGAATGAGTCAACTTAATTCTTTATTTCGTTCTTGTACACGTTTAGAAACAATAATAGTACAAGGTCAACTTCCGGATCGTCTTTATACGTTTACACAGGATTATAATGATAATTTATTGATTGATCTCCGTGAAGTTATACCCACTAGTTTGAAAAAATTGGTGGTTAAAACTGATTGTGCATTTACGGCTTCAGCTGTCGACGCTTTTCTTCGTGGATGTAGAGCTAATTTGAATAGATTAGAATTTACTTCTTATGGAAACGTTTGGCAACATTTGAATGTTATAAAAAAGTATGCTAGAAGGCACAAGTTGAAAATCAAACAAGAAATTGCTGGTAATTATGGAGAATTATTAATGAGAGAAATGGGTCAGGTTGTTGTTGAATTTGTTGAATTTGAATAATAAAAGTAATAGTAACTAATTTTTTAGCGAAAAACGTACTATAGTAGGTTAAAGTAGGTTTAATAGAAATTAATTTACAAATCACTACAAAAAAACCATTATTTTAGCAATATATATTATTAAACTATTATCTAATATAATTTGTGTTTTTGAGCGTAGTTCTAAATAATATTTTTCGGTTGAAGAGATGAATAAGTGTCGATCTCTTGTTACCTATTTATAATAGAATTTTACCAATGGATACATAAGTATTAAAAATTGTAAAAAATATAAAAATAATAAAGTAAAATAATGTATTTTTCTTGTATGAACGGGGATTATAAGTTATGGAACTTCTATAATAATATTAAATTAATAATACATGAATACTTTAAAAGAGTTTATTGCTAACATTCTAATATTAATGTTAAACCAGAAAAAAAAAGAAAATATTATATTTCTTCTATATCATATATTATATAATATACATTCTAAAATCTATTAATAAATCTAATATTTAAATAAAATAAATCTATCTTTTTATTTACTTGATAACAATTTCATAAGAAAACACGCCAATTTGTAATTTGTGGGCACTATTATATAAATATTTACATCAAATTAAAGGCTTTTTAATATATACACTTTATTAAATCTTCACAAACCTCAAAGAAAAAGATATTTCTTTTCTCCATATTCAAAAGTACTCTCATATAATATAAAATAATAAACAAAGATTAAATCATTTATATTGTAATAAACATCTTATTCCTTACCATTCAATGCAAGCAGATTTTTTTCAGATTTTTACTTTCTCTTGCTCTCTTGTTCGAATCCTATCTGCTAGCCACAATAAGGAATTCCCACTTCTTAGCCTTTCTAATTCTGTCAATGCCTCATAAATTCCAATTTGTTCTGATCTAACTTGGACTTCTTTTACAATAATTCTTCGTTTCTTTAAATGATACTCATTTTCAACAACCCACTTTACTCCGTATCGTTCCATCATTGATATCACCGACGGATTCCCGTTAATTCCTTCACTCCATTCATTCCATATATCTGTAACTGATCCCACTGTTTCAATAGGAGGAATGTTATAATAAGGTTGTAATTGTTCAATGGAGTTAGCAATGGAACTGCTGCGAGAATCATAACCAGCACCACCTCCATTTGTCGAAATAGTTTTTGAACTACTACCGGACCTAATTAATCTTTCGTTATTATAATGTGCTACGGGCGTATTTTCAGAAGAACTTTCACTAATTCCCGGCACGAAAAATGGATTATTATAGGAATCTCGAATAATATTACTAGACGAACTAACTTGAGGCGTGCTACAATTGCTAGGCTGTATTGTAGAATTGCTATGAGGCGTCGTGGAGGTTGTTCCGCGAGACTTTTCTGAGCTATTAATATGAGGTGGAGTAATTGTTGAAATTGTATTCGTACCATTGGCATTAAATATAGGCGGATGAGGTGGCGTCACCGAATTAAAATAGGGTATACTTTGTGTTGAACAAGTAAGAGGTTTATATGAACTACTTGGTTGTGAAGAACAAACCTCATTAGACGAAAATGTAATATCTTGAATAGATGAGTTACTCCCTGTAAAATTATTGCCGGCTTTCATCATATATGGGCTAATAACTATTTGAGGTTCTGAAGACTTTTTATTTTGCAATCTCTGATTTTTTCGCTTGGACGTAGGGGAGGCAGCTGTTTTCGGCGCCGATCTTTTCCTCGGAATTGTTACTTTTTTCTTATTATTAGAATTCTGCTGTGATGGTTGCGTTGATGGACTACCATCTGGAACTCTATTAATATCCTGTGAACTACGTGAACCGGCAGCCGAAGTAGTCCTAACAACATCATCCATTGAATCGGTAAGTTGATTCCTCACTAAACCCGAAGTACTTCTAGAAATATTTTTTGTCGGTGAATCGACCGGATTAACAATACTCTCTATATTATGCTTTAACCTCTCCGGTCGAGGCAGTGACGACTTACTCTGAACTGGTATTGATCTATTTGTTTTTGGCTGTTGACTTATCGATAAATGTGATATATTTGTACTTGATGAAAAATCTAATTGATTTTGTTGCGTTATATTCAATAGACTTTGCAATGCCTGATTATGCTGCATTACATTTGCATTTTCAAGTCTTGCAACTTGACTCTGTGTTGAACGTGAAGAGAGACCCGCCGTTATTTTAGATAAATGTTTAGGAACAAGCTCGAGAGCAGAATCGGAAACAGGGTCAGGGTCGGGTTCAGGTTCAGGTTCAGAGGCGGGTTCAGAAGCGGGTTCAGAAGCGGGTTCAGAAGCGGGTTCAGAAGCGTGTTCAGAAGCGTGTTCAGAAGCGTGTTCAGAAGCGTGTTCAGAAGCGTGTTCAGAAGCGTGTTCAGAAGCAGGATCGGACGTAGGACCAGAGACAGGATCAGGGGCAGGATCAAACGTAGGTGCGGAAGTAGATACAAATTCCTGAGGTTTCTGACTCATTTGCCGATCTGTGTGATTTTGAATGTTTTCTTCATGAACGTCCGTTTCCTGAAGTTCCTGAAGTGGAGTTTCATTAGATCTATTTTGATTCGTAGCGACAGAAGTAGTTGCTGGGGCCACGTTCGAACTTTCGCTTGATGTAACAGTTACTTCGGTTTGTTCTGCAGATTCTATTGTACCAGTAACAGGTGAAATATTTGTTTCTACAAAAGTCCTTGTGGTCATGTTTCCATACTGATCGGCCTCAGTAACTGTAGTCATTTTAATTGTTATCGTTGTACTTGTTTTTTGAGTTGTACATCCCGTCGAATTACATATATCACACGAAGTTCTGCCAGTTTCTTGCGGTTCTGATATATGTGCTGTATTATACGCGTTATCACTCTGAGCTGATTCAGCTGCATCTACATACGCTTCTTGATTCATAGAAGGAGATTGATGGTTATCAGATGGATATTGATCTTGAATATTACGTGAGGAAATATTTTCCGTTTGAGAAACACGATTAATTTGTGAAGGATTATTAGGACGAGGAGGAATTCTTTGAGACTCATTTTGTGATAATTGTGAATTATCATTAAATTCATTCTCATGAACTTGAGATATCTCTGGACGAGCATGAGTATGCTGTGATTGCGCGTCGGTTCGACTTGTTGGTATTGGCACAACCCTTGGAGGTGGAATTTGACGCACTGGTATGCAATTATTATTGATTTGTGGCATTATTACCATTTTAGGAGACGAAGATGATCCATTCATATTTTCTTCTTGTGAATGAGTTTGAGGATATTTTAACTGATTTTGATGTTGCAATAATGAAACTTTAGGATTATACGGCATCATCGAAGGATCAATAAGATTTGGAATATCCCCACTTGTGGGAGAATCCTGAATTAAATTTCGAATCTCAGGACGTATTGGACTTTGACTTTTTGATGGCACTAAATTAACATTAGGCAACCTTGATCTCGGTTTACGTTGAAAATCAAGACCCGAACTTTTTCCTCGACTTGTTCTGGATGAAGGATTGCCTATATAAGCATTAGGGGAATAATCCTTATCTCTCGGATCATCTACTTCCTCAAACATAACTTCATCTTCGTCATCATCATAGTCATCATCATATCCTTCACTATCATAATCTATATCAACCATTTCGTCATCATCATCGTAATCATCATCATCGTCGTCGTCGTCATCATAGTCGTCGTCATCGTCATCATCATCATCATCATCATCATCATCGTCGTCGTCGTCGTCGTCGTCTGTTATATTTTGTTGTTTTGGTCTACCACTTTTTTTTCGCCTCATACGTTTTAATCTACTATCCGATAATGATCGTTTTTTAAGTTGAAATTTTCTTGGTCTACCAATTGACGCGCTTCTTTTTACTCGACTTTGTTTACTTTGACCAGATCCAGATTGTCCGGGCTGTTGACTTGATAGCCGAAATGGTTGTATATTTAATCTATTTTGTCGAGTTTGTACATTCGGCTTAGGCTGAATCAATGAAATCTCAATCTCTCCTGTCTGTTCAATATCTCCAATATTCTCATTATGATCTGCTCCAGATTTTGTCAATGATCTTGTTCTCGGTCTTCCCATAGTAATTAATTACTCTGCTGACCAATGTGCTATTATAAATATATCTCTCAAAATAAATATCCAAAACTCAAATCATTTACAACAGAACCTTCAAACTGTAAAGAACAAATTTAGATCTCTGAGATAAAAAAAAAAAAATTTGAAATTTAATAATAATCGTATTACCCTTAACGATAAAAAAGTTTTCGTTTTAACTAATGAAAGTGATTGAAATAAATAAATAAAAAATTATAGTTAGTTCTGTTTACAATGTCGAATATATGCGTTTACGCTTTGATATTCGAGATATATTTATTTGACCGAGACTAAAATAGATTGTAAAAGAAAAAATTAAATATTTTTGTCTCATTTTTTTCATACTTTTATATATTGAACTGAATATAGTACAGAAATATTAGAAACAACCATTTATAAGAGCTAATAAAAAACTTAATACAAAAAAAATGACAAACCAAGATTTATAAACAAATGATTATTCCACCAATTCGCGAAATGGAAAAGTTCTAGTTAAGTTAAAGGGAGAAAGATAGTTTACTGATAAAATACTTAATATCTGATATAAACTATGGTCACGAGTACGAGTATTTTTGGCGATCATATTTAGAATAGATTAACATTGCACAAATATGTGTGATCGACTTCATAATTCAGGTTTTTTTTCCTTTTCCTTTCCACAAAATTCTCTTGCATGTTTTTTCCCTGCAAGCGAATATTATTACTTCCGTTTTATTTTGGTATATGCATTTGTAATATTTTATCTAAAATTTATGTAATTTTTGAACTAACAATTTTTTTTTTTTTAAAAAAAAGAAATTTTTATTATAAATTCGAAATTTTAACTTGTCCTACAGGATACGATGTCTGAATTAATTTCGCCCGAAATTCTTTCGGAAATATTTAAATTTCTTTATACAAAAGAAGAAGGAAAAATTAATCTATTCAATTGTGTTTTAGTTAATAGATATTGGTGTAGAACGACGATTCCAATTCTTTGGCTGGATCCGTTTAGTTTTTTTGATAACAAAATGTCGTTAGATGGATTAATTTCTACTTATATGGCTTGTCTAACTAATAAAGAGAGGCGCAGTCTTGAAAAACAAGGAATTGAAGTTCCAAAGAAGGTCAAATCGCCATCATTTGATTATATTTCCTTTCTCAAGAATTTAAATTATGATGGTCTTATATCTTCATTATTTCATCTGGGATGTAATGACGGAGTTTATAAAAAAAACGATTCATTTGGTATAATGTTACCAGCCTTACTTGAAATTCTTGCAAATAGAGACCTTGCTTTACAATCATTGGAACTTAAGAATCATGATCGACGTGGTGATTGGGATAGAGAGTTCATGCATCTTGTAGATCGAAAAATTCGACCTTTGATAAAACCAGTTAAAAAAATTTATCTTGATTGCAATGTACTGGATGCAAGATTTTTACCGTTACTTAGTGGTCAATGTCAAAGAGTTGTAAGTTGGAATTAATTTATTATTATTCTTTTTTTTCACAAAATTAATATCTGATTTCTTTTCATTTAGCGACATTTGTATATCGTGATGCATGTTGAAAAGTCTAAAAAGGGTAGTATAATTTGTGAGAGGGATGCAACGTATTATGCTAAATTAATTGAAAAACAAAAGTCATTAGAAATCTTGGCAATTGAAAAGTTCACTAAATATTTCAAAAATATCCTTCCGTCCTTTAAAACTCAAATACAATCATTAAGGGTGATTGAATTTATTAATTCTAATTTCAAGGAATGTGAATCTTTAGAAGTAATAGCTAGTTGTGAGAATTTAGAGCGTCTAATTTTTCGTGGATGTAATAATTTGTCAACCAAAATATTAAGGCCTTTATTTAACGCAAACTTTTCAAAACTTAAAGAAATTTCTTTTGAATCTTCTGAACGAAATGAAGAAATTGAAATATGGTTACAAAAATTCAATGTAATTCATTAGACTTTGTTATATGGAAAATCTGATATCAGTATATCATTGAATCAGTAAATTGATAATTAGAATAACTACTTTCATACCCGTAAGTATAAAATTTCATTCAATTGTAATTAGGCTTCCGTTTATAACATGCTTTATGCTATATCGATTTTGGAAACTATATAATTTTGGGCGGCTACAATAAATTTACTATTCATAATTATCTCTAGTTATTCCATTTCGTAAAACTTGTTATTTATGAAGAAGTACGAGATAAAATGTGATCTTATGAATATCACATTAATAAATTCTTCAAAAAGAATATTTCATTAATTGAAGATAGCACAGAAATTAGAAATGCAAAAAAAAAAATATATTATTAAGATATCTTATTTCAACAGAACTTCTGTCCAATCTCGTAATGGAAAGAATATTATCGATTTATGGTTATTTAAGCTCATGGTTCCTGCTATAATATTATTTCCGCTGAATAATAACATTAATAATAATATTTATAATATAGTATGTATATGGAAATATAAATTTTTCAAGAAACGTAAATACTTTTCATATAAATAAACATGAACTTTTGGATATTAATGAAGAACTTTTGCTAACATTTCCAGGAAAAAATGTGAGTTAGATGTTGATCGTGTGTCAGGATCTTAAGTTAGTCATCTATCATGCGTATGATATATTTTAAAAGAAATATCAAAATATATTGTATACTATTTTTTATACATTAAAATACAGTATATATTATCCAGTTTGTTTTTCTGTATATTTTCATTGCAGTATTGCATTAAGGGAATCAGCCATCAGGTCCAAGTTTCTTTGTTTGGTTAGTTTGGTTAGTTAAAAGCATACAGAAAACGTGATAAAAAATGTATTTTGAATAATATACTAAAAATTTGATATTTACAGTCAATTCTCTCTAAATGCATTCTTTCTAAGTGCATATATTATATATTTTTGCTCTAAATGCATTCTTTTACTCAGTTTTAAGTATATAAAAATCATATAAAATTCTCTTTCTAAATGTACACCTTTACTAAATGCATATTTTTCAAATTTTCATTATAATCCAAGGTAGGAGAATATTAAGATAGCATAAAGATAAATTAACATATTTATAAAGGTATTATAGAATTTAATTAATATAATATACAAGTTCTTTCTTTTAAAATTCTACAAAAGCTACTATATATAAATTAATAATTATTACTATATTATTAATAATTATTTAAAAAATTAATTATATTTAACTAAATAATATAATTAAAATTTAATATTATAATTTTACCTTATAGAAAACAGAATTTAATGTTTGTATTAATTTAAATTAAATAATTTAATTTTACTAAACCCATATATTATTTATTGATTATTATTATTAATAATGTATTTGATAAAAATTGTATAATACAAATTATATAATATTTTGGTAAATTATATAATATATAAAATACTAGTAACAAATTATTATAATGTTAAATTATAAAATTCCATATAATATAATTTTTCTATTTTTATTTAATAATCTAACAATTATATATAAATTTTTTAGTATTATAATTTAATATAAATAATAATTTATATTTAAAGTTATAGAAAAGAATTAAATTATTAATTAAAATCTGAAATTGAAATATTTTTTGGAAAATCTACATTATATTAGATGATTAATTGATAGAAACTAAATAATTTTTTATATTAATCCAATGGGTTATAAAAGATTTAATAATAAAGTATATTAACAATATATGCCATTTTCTTTTTGCTGTAAAATGTATATAATAAAAAACTAAAAATAATATAACAGATAACTCGCGTACTTCTAACTTGATCCAATGACTTACCTATGCACACTATATTAGATAAGCGTGTAATACAAATCAAGAACGATACTTTTGCATTTATTTTCCAACTTGCATAAAAAAGGCCAAAGGTCCCTAAAATCGTTACGCAATTATCACCCCAATTTGCTGACTGCATTTTGATTACGTAAAATTATTTTCAGTAAAATCAATTTTAATATCAACTTTGATCCATTTTTTTATTGTAAATTGGATTACGTTATTCGTTAAAAAAAAGCAATTATAAGCAGTTAATTTAACTTTTTAAGCTGTGTTCATAAATCTCCTTGGATTTAATAACCATAAAACGTTAATCTGATATTTCACTTTTTGGCTCGAGTTATTATGCAAAGTAACAAAAGGCGTTATGCAATTGATCTTAAAAACTGATTATCAATGATTTTCAATGCACATCCTTTTTTTAAATTATAAGTGACAAAAAAATCTGGTGACATTCATAAAATTATTATTAAAAAAGATTTTTCCGATATTTTTACTAAAAGAGTGAGAATTTTTAACCGACTTGATTCGGTAAGGTGTAATAAAAAATGCTAAAAAAAAAAGTGTGCCACAACGCTCACACATCCAGGCTGTGTAATTGTTTTTTTTTTACATTTGTGAAAAAATGAAGATATCCAAATATCACGTCAACCCAAATTTTTTGATCGTCACTTAAAAAAAGATAATTCGCGAAATATTTTTATTAGCTCCGAAAAAAAAAATAGTTACCCAAACTTCGGAAGCCGAATAAATAAAATTTAATTTGCAGTTTTCATTTTGGGAAACAAACGCTATAAAGAATACGAGATAAATTTCCTTGGTACGTTTTACAACATTTCTACTTTTTAAGAAATTGGAGATGATGCAATGACGCCATGACTCTATAAATTTTTTTTGTGGAGACTGTTTGTTTTCCTGTTTTGGAAATTTTAACGAATAAATGTGATGGTTCCAATTTTACAATGAGTTGTTGGAGTGATTTGCCTCCTTTTATCAAGTCTTTGTCTTTTTTTGCAGGCAGATAACAATTTTTATGTAAGGTGATTATTCTTGATTGGTTGATATGAATATAAAAATGTATGATCACAAGGTCATGGAAAATTTTTGGGGTATCTCTAAATTCAGGGTTTTTTTTTTTTTGACATCGAGATTTTATTATAAATGTGACATCAATATTCGCACAATCTGGGACTTCAAAAAACAATTGTTTGTTTTCTAGGTGACTTTTGCGAACAGGCCTCTACACTACTTTCACACAAATGCCCCAAGAGCAGAAGCAAAAGAAAAAACGGGTCCCTATTACTGCCCTCACAAAACAAGAAATATGTTTAAAAAAAAGAGAGAATTTGAAACTTAGGGACGAGGACCTCGCCAAGGAATATGGGCTTGACAGAAGTACAATCACTAAAATCCTCAAACAACGAGAAAAGTGGTTAGCTATCGACCCTAATTCAAATTATGCCAAACAGAAAACACAAAAATCGCCAAAATTTCCTCAAATAGAAGATGCTTTATCGCGATGGTTATCTGCAAATCTTAATAATGGTAATTCCGTCAGCGATGCTCAACTTCAAGAGAAAGCCCTAGAGTATGCACAGTCGTACGGACTTCGTAATGAGTTTCAAGCTTCTAACGGGTGGATATCTAAATTTAAAAATCGTCACCAGTTTCGTAGTGGTGAAAGTCAAGGAGTTTCTGAAGTCTCCTTACAAGTTAATCCACAGTCAGTACCTATCGGGACCACAGTTATACCGACTCAAGAACATTCGAATTTTAGTAATACTGTGAGCCTAGTAAGTTGTTTCATTTCTGTTTAAAAAGAAATTTTTTTTTGTTATCAGTATAAATACAAGCTTTGACGTCATAATGTGACGACTAATTAAATAGTCACAATCCGAGCTTTTACATTATACATTTATCTCACAATTAATTTTTATAATATTTTTATCATATATATTTAAGCCCCCTAACTCCCACTACTCATCTAATCCGTCAATAGCAACATCATCTCGTACAAATGGGACAAATATGCTCATAAATGCTTCTAGCTCTCAACATTATCTCCCATATGGGGCCGGTACGTCAACTCCTTTGGTAACTTCCTTCCCTCCTTCACGGATGTATCCATTAAACACCATAACACCTCCGATTCCCGAAAACGCAGCGTACGTTATTCAAGATAAATTTCTATATTTATATTTTTCTAACATAATTTGTTAAATCTTTAATCGACTTAATTTTGTTTAGTTTCATATTCTGTGATTATCAAAATGATGTTGTTGGAATGTGAGTAGTTTTGATTGAAAATTTAATGGTTAAAAACGCGTAATTGAGTGACTTATTTTTACTTTAAGAGAATTTGTATATATTATCATAAAATTTATTTTATTCAAAAAATTAACGCGTTTTTCTTATTATATGATATGTAGGTTTCAGACAACAAATATTCTGAATCAATTTCTGGTTAATTCGAAAACACTTTTTCAAGAAGTTCATCAGGCTAAACAAAAAAAGAATATTAGTAGTTTCTCTGTTGGTCTTTCTGTAAGTTATTTTTGCAAGCACCAACAGTTTAGACTTCCATAGCTAATTCTTCATTTTTATTAATGTATTTTTGTGTTATATAGTTCCGACCCGGTTATCCCGAAGTTTCTACAAATAATCGATATATTGAAAAGCTGAGAAACACGGGAAGACTTACTGAAGGAAACAAAGGGGCGGAGTTCATCGATGGGATGATACCAAGAGAGGTGGGAAATTAGAAATTTATATTACATTAGATTTTGGGGACATTCACTAACTATTTAGTTTTGTTAATTAATCAGGATGATATTGTAATTAAAGTATGTTGAAATCTTATAATGCATCAATTCTCTTTATTAATCAATTCACAAAAAGTTATTTTAATGCGTATATACTTATTTTTATAATTTCTTTAAAGAAACGCCGCATCGATGCTTTTTATAATACTGATCTTCAGATGATACTCCAATTACGAAACATCCGTCATATCATTCTTTCTGGTATCGCTACTGGTGATGTTATTCTATCTACTTGTCGTTCTGCTGCCGACAGAGATTTGAATGTTACCGTCGTTCGTGAATGTTGTTTTGACGGCAATGAATCGGTGCAAAACGTTTTGATGAATGAATTGTTTCCCATTCAAGGTGTAATGGTGGCCTCCTTAGATGATATTTTAACCGGTTTACGTTTGGCGTGAATTGAGATTGAAGTAAAAAAAAGCAAAATCTCACCTTTCCTTCTATAAGTTTCTCCTTTTTTTAATTTATCTCGTTTAACATCAATTTTCGTGTTTTCGATTTTATTAGTTCTGTCGATTTTTTTTTTTATTATATTTCATTTCTGCCACATGTATGGGGGCCTATGGAATTACCGGATCTCAATTTTAAAAAATGGGGATTAAAATCTCTAAAATTTTATACAAGTATATGATTTACCACCAAAAACATTATTCTATTTTTATATTTTATTTTATTTTTTTTATTTTTTATTTTTTTTTTAAAAAAAAAAAAATAATTTCAAAAAAAAAACGAGTCTCTCATGGACATGTTATTGATTCGAAAAACTTATTAAGTTAATCGGATTAAGCATATTCACCTTTTTCTTAAAGCACACCCCCCACTTTTAGCAGATGTGAATATTATTTTTTTCATAATTATGGTTTGCAATAATTTTTCATTTGGTCTCTCTTAAGGTTTCTTAGTTTTATCTTTTAACTCGTCACCGATAAATAATTTTCTCTCCCTCTCTTAAAATATTTTTCCCCTTTACATGTACATAAACCTTTTATTATGGTAGAATCAAAATTATACACCCTTTTTTAATTATTTTTTAAGTGAACATAAAAACCCATAAGGACAAAAATACAAAAAAAAGCCAAATAAATTCGAAAGGAGCTTTCGGGCAAAAACGGTTTTTTTATTTCAGGAGGATAAAAAATCAAATTAATTTATTTTTTAAAAAATGAACATTTATTTTATGTATTATGTAAAATCACATTTATATTTCACATATCAATATCACATATCACTTACAAATCACAAAAAAAACCACGTAATTAAATCGACCCAAGATCTTAATAAGATGTTCATCATGAAATCCAGGTTTAATCACATTAATTAACTAACTCTGGAAAGGTCATTTAACCATTTATAAATAGAACTAAAATCACACTTTTCATAACCAGCAGTTTTAGAAAGTTGATTATATAACTGTTGAGCGATGGCACCTAAAATTATAGTAGAATTAGAATCAATAGCAGCTTTAACAGCTAATCTTGTATCTTTTGCCATTAAAGTGTTACTAAAACCGCCTTCATAATTTTTACTCGAAGGTACATTTGGAAGAATACCGGGATAAGGATTATAAACTTCACTTGACCAACATCTACCAGTTGATGTATTTAATATATTTGCTAGTAATTTTGCATCCATGCCAAGTTGCACTCCAAGATTCATTGTTTCTGCCACACCAACCATTGATATTGCTAATAACATATTATTACATATTTTTGCTATTTGTCCAGTACCTAGTTTTCCGCAATAAACTATATTTTTACCCATATGACTTAAATATTCTTTTGCTTTATTGAAATCTTCTGAGGTAGATGCTCCTACCATAAATGTTAAAGTAGCGGCTTCGGCGCCAACAATTCCTAGAAAAATCATGTATTTAAAAAGTACCGGAAATATTTTTTTCTTTTTTTTTTTTAAAAAAAAAAAGGATATAAAATAAAAAAATTTACACACCTCCAGAGACAGGAGCATCGATAGCTCTAGCACCTTTATCAATAATCTGATTTGAAACTAGTTTGGAGACACTTTGATCAACAGTACTAGAATCAATTAAAAAACTATTTTCATCGACACCATTAATTAAACTATCTTGTCCTTCTAAATAAACTTTTTTTACGTGGGGTGAAGATGGTAACATTGTAATTATTATTGAAGCTTTTCGTGCTACCTCAATTGGTGAATTTACATGAAAAATTGGTTTTTGAGATAGTGTTGATTTATGAAGTAATGTGAATTTTTCCATTGCAGCTTTATTTATATCATGTATGATTAATGGCGAATTCATTTTTTGATATAAATTATTGGCCATTTTGAAACCCTTTTATGAGAATGAGAAACATGGATTGATTAATTGAAAAAAAATCTTTTTTTCGAAAGTGAATTTCGTACCATCTGGCCAAGTCCGATAAATCCAACTGTGTCATTACGTGATATCTATTACAAATATAAAAAGAATAGTCATAAATACAAATTTTAATTTAACTCAAACATTTAATCTCTTTCACCTTAACTAAAAAAAAATTTTTTTTGTCAAATATTTATTACAATGTAAAATATTATATATTTTCAAAAAAAAAAAACAAATACCTGTGTGGAATAATAATGTTTATTCTGAATAATAGTCTTAGCCAGGAAAAATTTAGAATTCTTAGAAAAAGGGCGAAAGATATCAACACGAAACATTGGGAAACGACAAGATTTTAGGAAAGGTTTTTTTTTTTAGCGCAAAATCTAAAGATTCCACGTGGTTTGTAAATACGTTTCTGGTTGCAATTAAAATCTAAATTTAGCATAATACCAGTTTTCTTTGTTTGTCGTCCATGAGGCGTAACTTGGCTTCTCATTTGTTTGCTGCGGGAATTCAAAAAATTAATTTATTTTTAAATACGGCTTTTGTAATATTGTGGCTTGTCATCGCGATTGATCAATATTAAAAAATAAATTTGCTTGTTCTAAATGAGGAATAATAGTTTTAGTAGGCGCCATTCAGGATAATCAAATAGGGATTGAATCAAAAAAGGATGATCCCGATGCCTGTTATGGCGAGGGTTATTATGGCAGTGAACGGCAATCAGATAGTAGAAATGATTAATTTTAACACAGATTTCCTTTTAAGTTAATAAAATAAAGGAATTTATTAAAGTGGCGATGTCAAGAAATATTTCTTTTCCCCCTTTTTCCCCTTAAGCTCTCATAAACATAGCTATTTAAAATAGCGAAGAATTTTATAAAATAATTACTTTTAATATTTATAATGGCGTATGACGAAACTGACAAGATAGAAATCCCTATTACAAAGTTACAATGGGGTTTCAGAGGCGCTCAAATATTATTTGCGTTATTAGCAACGTTCACCATTTCAGCAGTTATTGGATGGGATAATAAATTTTTCTCAGCTAGTTTATTTTCAGTATTTTTCCTTTTCTTTTTACTTTTATCAACCTTCTTTGCTGCAGCAATTGTTGGTATTCCTCACCTCTATAATACAAAGGGAAAATTCAAGAATGCAGCTAGAGCATTAGGAGTTCCTAGATTTGAATTCGTTTTGTCGGCAATTTGGGCTGTCTTAATATTCATATTTACATTTTTATTATCTATTGATGCCTTTGCATTAAGAAAATGTGATCCTTCTGATCCAAAATATTCGAATTATACTACGGGACCATCAAATCAAACTTTTTACAGTGGATTACCAAATGCTTGTAGAACTCAACGTGCCGCTAATGCATTCGGATGGTTTGCTCTTACCGCTTGGTTATGTTCTCTCGCATTGACTGCAAAAGACTGGTATACGAATAGACGTCCACCGGTACCACAAGAACCGATTACATACGATAAAAAGCCTTCTAATATATCAGTATCATCATCATTAGATGAACAAGGGTTACCAGATACATCTGCACAACATCAAGAAAATGTCCCCATGCAAACTATACATCCACAACCGCATCCGCAACAACAACAATTTCAACCTTCTCCAACTTTTCCACAACAACAGTTTCAACAAACTTCTCCTCCAATTTTCCCACATCAACAAACTTTTAATTCTCCACCTTTAGCACCAACTCCAGGTCCAGCGCCACCTTTTCCGCAACCACAAATTCCAGGCCAAGGACAAGGTCAAGGGCAAGGGCAAGAGCAGCCCCCCATTTCTTTCCCCGAACCCAAACACTTTTAATTTATATATTATATATATTGGCTTCTTTTAATTAATTATTTTTTATTAGAATCTTATTTAGATATTAGTTTTGCACCTTTATCATGTACAATAAATTTTATTAAAATTGTTGTTTTTCGTTTTATTTTTTTTGACATTTTTTAAAAATACAAACAAATTTATAAATAATTAAAATAACTTAAACATAACCAATTTCATTAAATACCCAAGATTTATTTTCATCTAGCCAGGATGTTATAGCTCCAGCCATAATTTTCTGATGATTTATATTACCAAAACGATGATCAGCATCTTGAACTATCATCAACTTATGATACGGCTCGGGTCCAATTAACTTATCATATATGTATGCATCTTTTACAGAACAAACTTCATCTTTTGATCCATGAATAGTCAATACTTTCACCTTTTGTTTATCAATATTTCTTACAACTGACGTATCTAAATTGTTTCTTTCTTTCAAATCATCATCTCGAATAATATATTCTCGATCACTATATTTAATCCAAACAAAAGATCCTTTTTTTTGTAGCTCTTCAAGTTGTTCAGGTTTAAAACGATTAGACGGCGCTTCTGTATGATCGTACCGAGCTGAAAGATTTACAATTAATGGAACATCATTATACTTTGACGCGTATAAAAGCACATCTACTGCTCCTTTGCTATGACCACAAATGCATAAAACTTTACGATTGAGGTTTTCTCGAACATAAGTTATTATACACCGAATGTTTTCCACTTCTTCGTAATAATTTCCGTAAGCTCCAAATAAAAATATATATATAGTTAGAAATCAAATTATTTCAGTTCAAAAAGTTCAAAAGTTAGACAAATATTTACTTGTTGTTCCTCCACTTAACCCATTTCCTTGGAAATCAAAGGATAATGTATGGTAAGGAATTCTTTCGATTACGCAGAGTATAGTTTTTGAAAATCGCGTGTTCAAAATACCGTGACATAAAATGACAATACCTTCGCTGGGTGCATTTGGTTTTAATTGAAGCCCAGCACTAAGATTGAACCCTTTACCAGTATCAACATAAAAAGTGGTTTCTTCCATTATTAAGGGGGGTATTCTATGATTATCATGCATTAATTCATAAAAACTATATCTTTTTATTAAGGGTGGTAGAATATATTAAGTCATACTAAAAAAAACATAATCATTTTTTTTTTGCTTATACTTTTTCAAATCTCATTTAAAATATTCGTTAGAAAGCCTGGGTTCTATCTTTCAAATGAACTTAGTGCAGATAAAGTTTATAACAAAATATTACGCTATGAAGTTGCACTTAAGTTTGCGAATCACTTATAAAATCTAAATTTAAACTTACGAAACTTTGTAAACTAATAATATAATTATTGAGAATACTTATGTCAAAGGGATCATTGTGCATAAAAATTTTACTAATACTCTTTTTATCTTTATTATGAAGTAGTGATTGGAATATTATAATTTTATAATGAATTAAATAGCAGATAAGTAAATTTTAACAAACAAAAGATGGCAGAAAAAATATTAATTTTAGTACATAAGATTTGAAAAAGATTTATATAATAAAATTGAGTGTATATTTATCTTCTTTTTAAGTGTGTATCTAATAAAATATATACGTGGTCACGTGATGACCGACATTCTTTGTATGGAAATAATAGAAATTACGGCTATACTGACATTGTACTTCTGTATTTCCGCAGCAATAATACTAAGACCTGAAGTGAAACTTCAATTGTTCATCATTACCATATAAAAACGGCAATACAAGATTCCGCACAATACTATGTTGTCCTGTTCGCTTCTATTATAAATATGTTATATAAGGAGACTTAATATTATTTTTTCTTTATCTCAAAGTTTTATACGTTGTACATTTTAGAAGCCAATCGACTGCCCCTATGTCAAAGGAACATAAATTATCGCCGGTGCACGTAAATCACCAAGTAACATGGTCGGGCTTTTATAAAAAATCTTTGCGTGAACGTCAAACTCAGTTAAAGCTGGTCTTTCCACAAGTTTTTACTTCTTCAACACCTAGTTCAGTCTTTTCTTCTGTTTATGTTACTCCTGATACCTCTCCATGTAGTTCACCTATATCAGTAGATTTTTCTTCTAAAACAAATGATCAAAATACACCCTCCCACTCTGTACTTAATAATAATAATGAAATTAATTATTTAATAAATAAATTAGAAACTTTAGAAACTTTGTCTAATAAAAAGTTGTTTCCAATTAATGGACTTGACGAAAATATAGCGGATAATATGATTGAAAATTGTATTGGGTATGTGATTTATTTCCATTTTTTTTTTCAGATATCTTATATGAATAAATTAATTTATTTATCGTGATCTGAAATTATAGAACTATAGGTTTACCGGTCGGTTTGGCCCTAAATTTCATAATCAACGGAAAACCTATAATAATACCTATGGCGATTGAAGAACCGTCCGTTATTGCTGGAGTTTCTGGATCTGCTAAAACCATATCTGCTTATAATGGTTTTAAAGCAACAACTACCGAGAGAAATACTATAGTGGCTCAAGTCTGTCTTTTAGATATTTCACAAGAGAACATGGATTTTGCCGTGGAAAAGGTCGTACATTAATCTTCATTTGCTAGGACTTCTTAAACTAAATCCTAACCTTAATTTTATTGATTTTTTTTTAGATAATGCAAAATAAATCTGAAATTATTAAAACTGCAAACAAATATTGTGATAATATGGTAAAAAGAGGTGGTGGTGTGTTTGATATCAATGCTCGAATTATTTCACGCAAAGCAAATCGAAATCGAAAACATTACCCGATAAATTCAGATAATTTCACGGAATGGCTAGTAGTACATATAACTATAGACGTTTGCAATGCGATGGGTGCAAATTGTGCCAGCACTGTGGCTGAGGGCGTTGCTCCATTCCTTGCTGAACTTACTGGTGGTCGAATTGGTCTACGAATTGTTAGTAATTTGAATGTAGAAAGGATGTCTAAGGTGAATTGATAAAACAACAAATAATAAAAGAATCTATTTTTTTCTCTGTAAACTGACATTAATATTTATCTATAGGCATCCTTTCGTATACCATTGCACATGCTTGCATATAAATCATTAAGTGGCAAAGAAGTAGCTGCACGTATCATTGAAGCTTATGAATGGGCTGAGGTTGATCCTTATCGGGCAACAACTCATAATAAGGGAATCATGAATGGCATTGACGCAGTTGCTCTAGCTACTGGTCAAGATTGGCGTGCAATTGAAGCTGCTGCTCATGCTTGGGCTTGTAATGGCGTGAGAACTGATAGTGATAATTTTCAGTCAAATGGTAGCTATGGATCTTTAACTACTTATTGGATTGAAAAAGATGAACAACTAGCCACATCTGGCAAGCCCGATGATGAATGTTTAATGTTCTGTGGTGAATTAGAGTTACCTATAACGGTTGGTACCGCTGGCGGTGTTCTAAAAACCAATCAAGTCTATACATATAATTTAGGTATAATGGGAAATCCTAATGCACAAGAGTTAGCCATGGTAAGTGTCTAATTTTATTTTTTTAAAAAAAAAATTTGAATAATAATTTATTATTAACATTTATTTATCTATGAACTTTTGCAGTCAATGGTATGTATAGGTCTTGCTCAAAATTTTGCAGCTCTTCGCGCACTAGCAACAGAAGGTATACAACGTGGACATATGAGTCTTCACGCCAAGAATGTTGCCATTGCAGCTGGTTGTCCGGCTAATGCTGTTACGAGTATAGCTCAAAGAATGATTGAAAAAGGTAAAATAACATTATCATCAGCCAAGAACTTTATTGAAATCTATATGAATGAACAAGCTGATATTGGTAAAAACCTACTTTCAAATTCTCTTAAAATTGAAGATAAACTCGAAAAAGTTTGTGATAATTTAACAACTTTGAGTAGTCAAGTACAATGTCATATTAATTAAAGAAAATTTTCATTAATTTAATAATTAATTTAATTATAAAAATATAAGATCTTGTTGAAAGGGTTTATTTTTTGTCGCGCCTGCAATATGTTCGTGTCGCACAATAAAAGTGATTTTAGCCATTACTTATAACAGTTCAGAATACTTATTATAATTAAAATATGAAAGGCACAGAATGAAGTTTTCAATACTTGATCTAAATTTTATAACATTTATTAAGATTGTAAAAATTCTTGCACCTCAGCCAAATAATAAAAAAACCAATTAATCAATTAATTTCTAACTTCTTTATATATAATGAGTTATAAACAAAGGGAATATGAAAGAAAAATTTACAAAGAAATTATTATTAAAAAGGGAAAATATAATGAAAAAGAGAAGAAATATATATCCTAAATCACACTATAACATTAATATATCGAGAATTAGGATAAATTAAAAAAATGTGTTCCTTTTTTAAAGGAAAAAAATTAAATTTACCAAAAATTTGTTGATATTACCAACTCCTCCTTGATGCTTTACAACATTTTAATACATCACTAATGATTCTATCCTCCCAATCCGGTCGAAATAAAAAACTACTATGGTCTAATCCCCGCATCATATGAACGGAGATATTATTTTTCAAAAGATACTTATATATCTCAGATGATGGAACTATATTATCATATTCTGATAGATAAATGTATGTATTTGTTGGAAGCATATTTCGTGGCGAGACATAAAGAGCAGATTGGTACCAATGGAAATGGCGGAAAAAATAGTACGAAATATATAACTCACGTGAAGCAAATAGATAGGTCGCATGCTGTGATAAAAGGAGATTAGATATTTCGTAGTAATATAAAATAAACTATTTTTTTTTATTTTACCTCATTTGCGGCCAATGGTGTACGATAAACAAAATTATAAGCTATATCTGGATAATGCAATAAGAAACAAATAGGATCGATTAAAACACAGCCGGAGACACATTTCCTTGACTCTTTAATTATCCAAGCACACACTGCAGTACCCAATGAATGAGCAACGAATGTGGCTTTAGAAAATCCTTTTGACATGAGCATCTCTTCAATTTCTCGAACAGTTTCTTCCATAGTTGGTACATCTTCAACCATTCTCATGGATACATGTGGTAATTCGACCAAGAATATTGGGCGATTTAATTTGTACAACTTCTTAAGAAAATTGCCATAGACCCATAAACCACAACCAACTCCATGAATAAAGACAATTGGCTGTTGCTTTTGATAATTCTTTTTTTTAGTTGCAGTATCACCGGGATTATAATACCAATAGCTTATTCGTGATGGCGGCAATTTACTAGTTTCCTCCTGGATATCAAATTCAAGCGTACTAGACCAGTATCCATTCAAAATACTTTCATTTAATCCATAATGCTCAAACCCAAAAAGTTTTAAAATTACGAAAGTTACATAATTAAATAAGAAAATTACCTAAAATAAATAAAATTAAATTAGATACAAACATAATGAATTAATTAATTGACTCAATACATACAATGTAGAATACAAAAGGTCTTGGAATGGCTTTAACGGGATCTAATGTCAATCGAATACATCTAACATCAGGATTATATCCCTCAGGAAATTTAACTTTTTTTTCATTTTCGATGAAGCTGATAGCTTCATATAATTCATTTAAGTATTCGGTATTTTGACGAACGTCTTCAATTCTACTAGCAAAGAAGCTCCAAGCTAGCCTATTACGTAATCAAACAATCGATTTAGCAAGGATTAGCAATGTCACATGCAGAATTGCGTAACCGTCACAAAATTCAGCCACAAACAAATACTTACCATTCTTCAATGTTTCCCCTGAGAATTTGATCAAATTTTGCTTTTTTACTTCCAGTATTGAACCAACCTTCAAGCCAAGTTTCAAATTTATCGACGGTATGAAGACAGTTATATAATGTTTCTACTCGTACATGCTTAGGTGGGATAACCGGAGGCAATAGTTTTTGAAATCTCTTAATTGTCATTAGAAAATACAAATGAAAAACAAGTTCGAAACCTAACCAGTAGTGCAGGAATGCTGAAATTGACGTATCCATTAAAGTAGCAGAAAAAGTACTTGGAAGCAAATCGACTAAAAACGATTTTCGGTTTGTAACATAGGAAAAATAATAAATGCAGGAGATAATCGGTAATGAAGAGTAAATGGTCGCGACAAGCTTTATACCAGCTCGCGCTATCCAACTATTGCCAATCATTTGTATTATTTATATTAATCATAAATATACGTTACGGTTTCGAAAATTTTTTTTTTTTCAGATGCGATGATATTGTATATATATATATAATTTTTTTTTTTTTTTTTGTTTATCAATTTCTCAATAAAGGGAGTAGAAACCTCATGAAACAAATATATATTTATGTACTGTCGGTGAACCAGTTTTGCAGGGTGCTTAGTAATACCGATTGGCTGTTAATGTTACAATACTTAAATAACTAATTGCGTCACAGTTTATCATTGCAACCGAAAAAGTTATCGTTTTATCTATCTACCATTTGATTTACAAATGTTAGCACAGGCCTTAGTTAATTAAAAAAGTTAGTTAAAGTTAGCGCTGGCCGTGTGAGCCAGTTAATTAAAAAATTTGGCAATTTTTAAGTGATTTTTTGGTCACTTGATGGCATATTTTTACTGTAATTAGAGTTTATATTATATATCATTATTACAAAGATCATCTTGCATTCGCCGAAATTTATTTTCTTTCAAAAATTTATTAAAAGATAATCTTGCTTGTCACCGGTAAATTTAATCTATTTTTCAGCCCTTTTAACACCTATGTCATCTCACATATGATTATTTTTAACCTGTCAATTGTAAAATTCCGGAGAAATTTTTTATTTGTTTCAATCGCTTGAACTCACATGAATTAATATATCGATTAATTCTCATATGGATTAAAATATTTTCTACTCCCATATTAAACATTAAAATCGCACTTTTTAGTTAAGCGTGAAAATCTATTTTTTTTTTATTTTTATTTCAGCGTGATAAAGCACGAAAATCTATCAATTTTTAGCACTATTTACTGAAATGGAAGGTGTCAATAGCGCGTGAGATCAGGTAGATCAGGTTTGCCGATTATATAATCTATACAGATTACAGATCGACGCTAGTTATCATTAAGACAGCGCAGTATATTGCTTAAGAAACAGAGTTGTCTATTCCTATTGCATATTTACTCACATTAATCATAATGGTTTTTGCGAAACTTGTAAAAGGAAGTTCACACTTTATTATGGATCAGTTATAAAGCTGATAAACATCATAATTCATTGATTCATAGATATAAAACAGAAACAAGATTTACTTTTTTGAATAATGATAATAAACCAATCTATTAACGCGGTTTCGTATATGCCGTCTTAGTGAATCAGTAGAAGTAGTAAGTTATCAATTAATTCATTTTAATTTTATTTTTTATTTCCTTTTTTTAATTCCTTTAGTTTCTATTTGACAAAATAATTCCAAAGAGTTTAAAATACGTAGAAAATATAACTTGATATTCGAGGATTAATTCAGACCATACTTGATAATAACAATATGAGAATACAACGCGAAGTATGCATTTTTATTTAATAATATTTTTATTGAAATCAGCCGCTTAAATTATTTCTTGAATGTTGATTTGATTTTATATACATATTAGCATTGAACTTATTTAAGTCAGACTGATGACTGTTCTATACGTTCTATACGAACATTGAATAATAAATTCATATGGAAAATGGATAATCGATTGATAATGTGTTATAGGCAATTTGATTCCATACTGCATTTTTTTGGAACTTTTACTGAGATAGGTTAGTATTAAATAAAGTTTTGATTTTCAGTTTTTTTTATTACATTGTTCGTAGAGATTGCTATAATGGTAAACGTTTTATTAACTGGAGATTATTCAAAAAAAATCAATTCATTTTTATTATAATAATTTGTACATACAAATTTACACAAAATAAATTCTATTCAAAACTATCAAAAGTTAAAGTTGAAAATAATAAAAATACAAAGAAAGTTTAGGTTTCTAACCGAAAAATTGGTAGAATATGTCGATTCTGCAAATAAAGAAATAAAAAATTTGAAAAAGAAAATTCGAAATTGACTAGAAGAAATTTAAATAAAAAAAAAGAATTATAGGTATTTTTAATGCAGTTTCTTTTATAATTTTTTTTTGTTTGTAAAACGTACAAAAAGAATTTATGAAAAAAGAAAAATTTATAGAATATCCAAGAATATTCTGAAAAAAAAAAAAATTAGACTAATAACTACTTATTTAAATAAATTGAAAAAATAACTAGAGTAAATCTAATTTACAACAAAATCAATTAAAAATTATTTCGGCAACATGTTAGGAACTTTATAACATTAAGTAATAGATTATCGTTTTCCTCCTCAAATATTACAAAAATTTTATTTTTAATCTTAAAAAATTTTTTTTTTTTTAATACAAATAAATAATAATATAATTTAATAATTCAATGTAATATAATAAAATAATAAATAGTCATTTACTCTAAAACTTGCTCTCTTTTAACATTTTGCAAATAATTATTAATTAAGATGATTTCAAATTTTCTAATTGAATCGTTAGCGCACGAATAGTAACATCTCGTTGTGCCAATTGATTCCGCAGATCATCGTTTTCTTGGCGCAATTGATGATATGCTTCTTGATACTATACATTAATTTATTTTAAAAAAAAAACCAATATATAAATCATTCGCTTCTTGCCCAAATGATAAAAAATAAATTTTTTACATACTTCTTTTTCAGTTTTAGGAACTTTCTCTTCTTTTTCTTCTTCTTTTGGTGCCGTAGAAACAAATTCTTTTTTATCCTTAACAACAACTTCATCTTCTAAATTAATAGTTTTTGGATTTGCATTCTTTCCTTCAAAAAATTCATCAGCCGTTAGTGCTGGTTCTCCACTTAATGTTGGAGGGAATAAATCAGCTTGGAATGCATCAGACTAAAAAAAACAAAATATTTAAACACAAAGCTAATATTTAAACAAAATATTTCTATAAAAAAAAATTTGTGTTCAAACTCACCCTTCGCGGTACTACAAATGAAATTGGTTCAACACAATTACTAGTAACTTTATAAGCTCTAGCAATTTCACATTCATTAACATTTACAGCACGTTTAGGCATAAATGCCATTCCACGTTGAGGCTCGGATGATTTATACTCTGATAAACTGTATAATTCATCATTTTCAAATTCATAATAACGAATATTACCATCACTATTCGTTTCAAATATTAAAGTGATGTTAATTTAATTATCTTTCTAGCAAAAAAAAAAATATTACTTAAATATATATTTACTGACCCCTAATATTAACGCGGAAACAAATTTTTTTTAAAAAAAATAAAAATATTAATAATAATTTTTTTCGCTTGTTTTATTTTTAGAGCATACATACCTTGCCTGCCAAATACAATATCTTCGTATCTTGATCATAAAATGGCATAACAATTCCAGATGACGTATCTAACATCATAGTTTTTAAAGGTTTTTCCAATTTAGAAGAATCCCAAACATATACTTGGCGATCGCTCATTTTTGAAAAGCCTGTTGTCACAATTCTCTCACTATCACCGAGCCATGCAACTCTGGACCCTTTAACACCCTGGTGACTTTGAGCTTCCTGAACTACTTTATTAGATCGTACATCAAAAATCCTGAGTTTTTTGTCACGACATGTAGTAGCTAATAAACTGCCATTCCAATTCCAAGACATCGACTGTATGAAATCCAAAAAACCACTAAGTTCTTGTTTCCCTGCTCCTTTCTCGATATCCCATAATTTTATGGTAAGATCTGCAGATGAAGAAGCGAGAACATTATCTGCAACAGGATGAAATAAGACATGCCCAACCTTTCTTCCATGAGCATTTAACTTAGCTACGGGTTCAACATCTGGAGATTCCGGTTCACCGAGTTCTTCTGGAACTGACCAAATCATTACTTTGGAATCCTCGCCACAAGATGCAACAACATAATCATTAAAGTTTGCAAAGTCTGTATCCAAAACAGGAGCGGTATGCGCGCGATAAAGTGGTATACCATCGTTAATTTTACCTAAAAATTAAAAAAATAGACCAAATTATATAAATCAATTAATTATCTAATAGTAGATCTTTCATATTAAAACTTACCAACATTCTTATGCGGAATAACAGCAAAAGCTCCTCCTCCACCAGCATTCCAATTGATGGAAACAAATAACTGAAAATAAAAAAAAGTAAGTTAACCAATAAAAATCATCAAAACATCCGCTAAAAAAGCTTACAGGATTAACTTTCACGAGATTGGTATCCCACGCGCTAGCTGAAATCTTTACATTATCAAAGCAATTATCATGTTTAGCCGCTGTACCAAAAACGTGTCTAGGAAATTAGAAAAAGTAAACTAGTATATGTTAGCCAAAGTTGTTTATACTTTCGCTTAATCAGTTTTTAAGAGAAACAGGTAGTATTTATTTATTAACGCTGTAAATAATACTATTTAAAATCAAAACCGTATTATGCCAAGATGAACAATAAGAATATACCTGAATTTCGAAGAACGAACAAAACGAGACATTTTAACAACTTCAGTAAACTTTAGATAAAAGGCTATACAAAAGAGAAAAATTCTATATGCCAAGTTCTTGGTTATTTGAATAAAGACTCGCGTAATTTGTTACCTATTTAAATTTGATGATCTTCATGTGCTCAAAACTTCGTGGCGGATATCACCGCCACTTCCATAATGGTTTTAGAAATTAATGAAACGCGATGTTTGACAAACAAAAAATTTTATTTATTTTATATATTTGATTCTCGCATTATAAAAAAAAAAAAATCTATATTATTTTCGCGTTCTTTATTATAACCAACGCGTTCTAACTAGTATTGTTAGGTAGATTGTTCCAAAATTTCACTTAAAACATTATTTAATTCGTTTTCGTTAATGTTATTCATTCCCTCATTATTGATCAAAGGCCAATCTTTTCTTAAATATTTTTCCTCCAATAAATCCCAATGTGGTGAAGCTTGTTGTCTTAACCAATTAAAATCTTCTACTGTATCATATTTATTAGTTTTTTGATCAAGTTTGGCAGCCTATGATAAATTTTTAGGAATTAGTATTTTTTTCTTTCAATTTTTTAAAATTCAAATATTTACCTCAAACATTTTGTCTAATCCAGGAATTGATAAAGTATATGGAGCAAACTTTATCTTATCACAATCTTCAATAATTGGATGACTTGTTACGTGAAGATATATATTCATTTGTTTTGAAGTATGCATTCGAAACTGTTACAAAAAAATGTTAGTCTTCCATTTCTTTTTTTATAAAAAGTGTATAAATTTCATTTTAGTTTATATTTTACCTGATGGCAAGCAACAACAAAAACACAATTTTCACAATCATGAATTAAAATAGAACTATAAACAGGACCGGCGAGAAGTACGCAATTCTTTAATCCTTTAATATGTATAGCACCGATAATAACATTTTTACTCACAAGGTTAATAAAACAATTTTGCAAACTCGAAAGATGAAAATCCATTGTTTTTGTTGAATCATCTGTTGAAGAAGGGGGAGATAAATAAGAATCTACTGTTAGATAAAAATTTTGTTTATTGTTTAATGTGATCATTTGAAAATTTTCGTTAGAAATTGTTTTAGAAATTGTAGATGTAGTTGTAGTGGATAGCGTTGCTTTGATAATATTTTGTTTATTTTCCGTTTCATTTACTCTTTCCCCACTTCCATTTGTAGCATTAGGTTTTCTTGATTTAAATGAAAATTTGCTTTTTGGAGCTATTTCTGCTTTTTTTGTATTTAATTCTTCAACCAATGCCCTAATTTGCTATGTCAATTTATAAAAATTACTTTTAAGTCAAACCATACAATTTATAAAAAAAGAATAATGTAAAACTTATTACATACCAAAATTGATTGCCTTTGATCATAACTAGGCAAATAAATCATAGCATCAGTAGCTTTTTTTTCTAATAAATTAATTCTAACTAATATTTCTTCACATAATTTTGTAATTAATGATTTTGGTTTTGTAGAAAGACTATTAATCGATTTTTGTATATCTTTAAAAAAATAAATAAATTAGTATATTCAATTATTATCAAAAAGACATAACCATTGTAAAGAGTACCTTTTCGTTCTTCTTGAAATTCTTGCCAGAATTTATATGCTACCGCTTCTTTACTATGTTTACTTGATATTTGTTCTTGTTTTGTATTTTGATCTCCTGAAGAGTTCATATTAAATTACAATCCACTTATAAGAAAGAAATCGAGTTTAAGATATCAAATAAAAAAAAAACGAAATAAATTACAGAAATCGTACTTTATATAAACAATTTCTTAAAGCAATCTCGTGAATCGTAATACGAAAATCTCATTTGGCGCAGCTTTTACATTCGGTTAGAATATAATCCCGAAACAATATTAATTTATTATAAAATGATACTGTTTTTATTTATAATCAATAAATCAACATATTTAACATATTTCTAATTTAACACAAATATTTAATTTACATTTCCTTATTGGTAATTTTTACGAAACAAAGATTGAACAGAACTTTCGATCCTTCTTGCATAAGACCATTGTATTAACCAATTACTTCCCCAACCTTCACTATTATCATTTTGTTCCTTTGTTTCATTATTTGCAGGAGCTTCAACAAAGTTCTTTACAGCCAACATCATTTGTTTAGCACAAGTAATTTCTGGATAACCACCAACTCCCGTACCAAATCCGGCGCAAATAACACTGTTTATGCGTTGATGCTTTTCAAAGACATAATGGTTTTTCTTATCTGCATTTTCAAATAATCTTGCATTATGATTACGAATATGAGTTAACAAAGCCCAAGTACATCTGTAAACAATATCATCACAAGGATCTAATGCTTTTGGAGTTCTCATGGTTGGACAGTGAGCCAAGTAAACTGGGTAATTTTCTTTAGAAGGTAATTGTTTAATTAGATTACGTAGATCAACTAACATACAAGTTCCAACATTTTGTTCTCCACACCATTCCTTTTCTATTTCTTTTTGTACGACAGGGATCAATGTATTAACTCCACCATAATACTCTGATAAATCATAATCTAATCCTCCATCCATTAACCCAAACGAATTTGCCGGGGAAACTATACAATCAATTTCTTTGGTTTTTAATAATGACTGAAATGGTTCATTGTGAATTTGTACTTTTAAACATTCTGTTGAATCTGTTGGCGATAATTTTTCTGGCAGTTTTGATAATTCTTTTTTCCATGCATTAATTATTGCCTAAAAAGCGAAGAGAATTAGGTAAACGTTTTATAAATATAACATAAATTATCGAGAAACTTACCGTACTTGTATCCACAAGATATAAATCAAAAGCATGAGGTGGAAGTGGTGATTCTTCTGATGTTGCCATAATTTGAATTTTTTTTTTTTTTAGAAAAGATATTGAAAAAATTGGTGGTTTTATAACTTTTCGTAACCCATAAAGTCTCGTGTAATGAGTCATTTTTAAAATCGTATGATGGAAGTCGTACGATATGATAGTCGAGCGCCAACCTAACTGTTACACGGGAATTTTAAACGAAATTAACAGTCATGTGACATAATGCGTTCTTTTGAAATTTCGATTTATAATTCAAAAGGATTTTAGTATCAGTAAAATTTTTTGACAAATAACTTAAAATAAATGTTTCAAATAAAATAACTGATAACATGTTATTTCTTTACTATTAAAATTATAATTTTTTTAAAAAAATTTAGATTGTTTATTCTGGATTATGAATAACTAAGTATTGATGTCAATATTTCCGCATTTACCCTCTTTCTTGAGGAAATTAAGGACGACTATGAAATGGCGGCATGCAATTATGTACTGCGTTAAATAAATTCGCAGAACATTATAGGGCGGCAAAATTGAAGTCCATCCCTCGGTTGGCCTCTTTCTCAATGATATTAGATCCAACAGTTAATATTAGAAAACTACCTGCTAGCATTAAAGAGAAGGAAAATTCAGACCCTCAAGTTATTCCTTATCAAAAAAAAGAAGAACCAGTAAAAAGGAACATAAACTGAGCAAAATATAAAAAAAAATCAGCCGAATTGATATATAGTATGAATTTCAGACAAATTAAATAGAATTTATTCATTTTTTCGTTTTTTACATTTGATTATAATACATTATTAGCAATTGTATTTACAAAGCACTTTTACTGTATTTGGCTGGGTAAAAAAGATAAAAAAAAACAATTGCGTTTTTTTGTACACAATAGCTTAAAGATAACTTTATTTATTAATATAAAGTCTTCCATTTGTCCAAATTACGTTCCTAAAATAATAATAATAAAAAAGAAAAAAAAGAAATTTTAATCACGTTCCTGGAGGTAAAAAAAAAAGTAAAAACAAAAAATAAAAGAACAAACCTATTTTTCTGTTCGTTCAAGGAGGGACTGCTCTTCAAGAACAAGCTAATTATTTAACTACACCCAAAAAATGAAAACGCGTGGGGAGACAAAAAAAAGGAGTATAATGATGATGAATGACAGAAGTGGTGTATCATGTGACAGTGTTGGCACATGACCGGATGTGACCTAAATGACTTAGTGACTAAGTCATTAGTCATATGGTCATTTTAGCTTTGAAGAATTTATGTGACTTGGTCATAACGATATATGATCACGTGATTTAACATGATTTAATTTTTACCGTTATAAAATTTCAAAATTTATTTATTATTTAATATATCATAAATTTTTACAACAAATACTATAAAGATTAAAACATATGAATTCATTTTTAAAGTGCTGAATAAATCTGATTTCCCTGTAAATAAGCAGGAAATCCTAAATTAGAAATGAACAAAGATCATAACGGCCATTTTGCTGTCAGATCGTCTGCAGGATGAATTGTTCTTCCTCCAAAATTAAAGTCATTATCCATTTCACCATCTAAAAGTATTTCATCTTCAGAATGATCAAATGTATTTTCACGTTTAATAGCTTCAATCCAATCTTTAACAAATATATTCCATCCTTGTTCTTGTTCTTCAGTATGAGGTTAGGAAGAGTCATTTAAAGTCAAATTATTACTTTCATTTTCACCATTATCATCGTCACTAACCAACAAATCATCATCAGTTAAGTTATTAAATTCAGGATTATTTATATTATCATCTTCAATAATTGGTGTTGCTATATGTAAACGCTGAACTTTAGTATCTAATTCTTTTGCATTTTTTTTTTGACGATGATAAAGTATATCACTTCGAATCTGACTCATAGCTAATACTTTTTTGCTCTAAAATATTAAATAATATGAATTAAATTTTTGTGTAATAAATAAAATAAATATTGATATAAAACATACCTTTAATTTATTTCGCCTATTCGTGTGAAGAAAACCCATACTACTCCACAATCTTTCAACGGATGCTGAGTTAATACAGACACCATGTATGTGTATAGCAACTTTAGCTAATTCTGGTCCAATACCAGCTGTAGAATCCCAATAATTTACCAAATTACCTTTAAATTGTGAAAATGTTTCAAGGTCATAAGGATCTTCACCATGTTTATATAAAATCATTTCAGCTACAATTGATGAAGGACGGGAATTAAAAAAAGCTTGATAATAGTATTTTAACCATTTTCCAATATGAGTCCATGTTAAATTATTATTTGTAACTTGAAAATTTTCTAATTTGTATTGGGGGTGAAGAACAATAGAAAGAATAAGGAGCGGCTGCTCCCACTCCTTCCAACGTTTTTCGATTCTTTCAACCATTCGTGAACCAAAATCAGTATCTTGGTGATTTTCAAAAATCTTAATAGTATTTGCAAAACAATGTGTTACTTCAAACAATCGTGCAGTATCCTTCTGCAATTTATTTAAAAAGCCACATAGTGGATAAAGCATATGTTGTAGTAAAAAAAGGGTCGACCAAAATTCTGAATCATTTATAGTATCAGCAATGTCATCAGAAAGTTTTCGGTCGCCATTTTGGCTTGAAGATTTATCTGCAGATGCTGAAGGTATTCCATTTTGACGTGTTACATTAGCCCAATGTGGATTGAATTTTGCTGAAATAAACTTTAATAAAAAAAATTTAAATATTATATTTTTATTGATATAAAATATTTATTAAACTAATAATATTTACCTTTAATGCTGCTTGAGTTTTTAAAATAGAATAAAAACAAAAGTAATAACTGTTCCATCGAGTATCTCCTGGAGATGCTAAACATATGTGTTTATTATAAATTCTCATTTGTTCATCACGAAGATTTCCAGTAAAATACACTGATTTATTAAAATAAGTAACTAATCGGACTGCTTCCTTTAATATTCTTTGATATAATTCTTTCTCTTTGAAAATGTCGCCAAAAACAAGATTCATTTGATGTGCCATGCATGGTAAAAAAATTTTACTTGGATATTTTCTTCTCATTTGCCGTCTAGAAAAAATAAAGTTAAATTATTTTTCCATTAATAAATTAATAAGTATTATAATAATGAATTAAAATTAGGTTTATTAAATTTACCTTGCTGCTGCATATTCGCCTGCTGAATCTGAGACAAATGCTTTTATACAAACATTTTTGTTTTTTGCATCTTCCATCATTTCTTATATATGTTGGATAACATAAGTTGTACGAGATCGCTCAGCACTTATTTCATGTGCTCCCCAAACCAAAGGTTGTCCTTTTGATGTAATAAATACTACACCCCATAATTGCTCCATTTTTACATTCGTCCAACCATCAAAGGCTGCCGTAACACCATCTTTATCATTTGCTGCGATTTTTACAATATTATGTTGAAGAGATTTAGCTGCATCTTTTAAGATTCTGCCACCAATTGCTTTACGATTAGGAAGAACAAGTCCAGGAGCAATAAATTCAAATAATGCTTTAGTTTCTTCATTCTCTACAAAAGAGAAAGGAAGACCATTAGATACTGTCATTCTAATGAATAGTTGTTCAAATCTAGGTACATCATTTGTTGACATTTGGCGACGATAATATGATGTTAATGATTTTTGTTGGCTGCCAATTGAGTTAAAACTTGATACTGTTGATGTAGAAAGTCTCCTTCGTTTTGCTAAATTTTGAATAGATTCATCATCATCATCAACTTCTATAATATCATTAACTTTGTCTTCAGGTACCGGCAATTTAAGGATTTCCTTTACTTCTTCTTCAGAAAAGGTTTTCTTAAAATTTTCACATTTAGCCAAGTGTGCACGACATAATCTTGCTTTATTTGATGTATAACATTCTGGTCTTAATTTAGCTTCTTCTAACCCCCCATCACAATTATTAATACAACTATTGCATACTGCAAACGCATTTCCTTTATTTATTGTATTTTTAACAAGTGTAAAGTACAGACGAAAATTATGTGGTTCCGGAGGCATTATTTATTTGGGTTGACGTTGAGTAAAAATTTTTTCGGTTAGTTGATTTACAAAAAAAGATTATCAATTAGAATTTTATTGGTTAATCAAACAAGGGGTCACGTCAATTGTGACATAACCAAGGTGACTTATGGTCATGATGGTCACGTCACTTGGTTATTTCTGATATGACCGTAATGATCAATGACCATAGGTCACATGCGTAGTGACCTATGTCATTTAAAAAAAAACAAAATGACCTGGTCATTTTCCATCACTGTCATGTGATGGTGGCTATAGTAATAATAATTAGATTAAAAGAGATTTATAGCATTATAATTCCTATCTTTGATTTTGGTCAGATTTCTAGATAGTTACCATTATATTTATAGTTAGGACTTGATTTTTAATTGAGTGAAGTTTTATATTGTGTTTTTTTTCTAAAATAGTCTTTAAATTATCAATGTATTTCTCCTGACTATCCATAAAATAAAATAAATTTATAGCATTTATAATTGAATTAATAAAATTAATAAAATTTATAATTATAAGTTATTATATAACCTATTGTATGAACTTAGTTTAATTATAGTTTAATTATAGCTTTTTAATTTTTTAAAAAATAATAAAATTATTGGTAATTATATTTAATATATGGAGTATGATGTAAAATAAAAATTATAAAATATATAATAATTTATCATAATTAAGTAAAATTTAGAAATTAATTAGAGTTAAGGTTAAAGTTACAATTTTCTGCTATTGTAATAATTTATAAAACCCTAATTTTTATTTAATAAAAAAAGTAATTTACTTTAAATAAAATATTTAAATTATATTAATTATATATATATATATATATATATTTTTTTGCTAACCGCAATACATTTACAAATTTATTAGGATAATGCTAATAATTAATTATATTTTAAAATATATATAAAATATATTTAATATTTATTTATATCATTTATATTAAAAATTATTTTTAAAATATATTTATTTTTTTAAAAATTTTTTTTTTTATATAAATTTAGATCTATAATTATATAATTTATATATAATAAAATTTGAATTTATATAATGATTTTATATAAAATTTCTAATAAATTAAATATATAAACTTATATTAAAACAAAAAATTCAGGGTAATTTAAAATTTTTCTTGTTATTTCATAATGAATCTAACTGGAATTTCCTTTAAGCATAGACTAAGAAAAGAATAAAGAAAAAATTCCTCTCTAAGAAAAAGTATACATGTCGGTGTAATCGCAAAAATTACTCTTATAGTCCAAATTCTGCCTGGCTGTGTACTCATAAGGTTCTTTCAAAATAATAAATGGTTTAAAACTTACTAATGTTAGATAATCTAATTTATAACTTATTTATATAATTATATGAATTATTCATCCCTATCATGTGATAAATTTGATTGGGCTGACTAATATTTATAGCTGTTTATATTATTTTTTTCATTTTTTCCTTCCTTCTTGTTTTTTTCTTTTCTCTCTGTTTCATTTTATTTTCCTTTCTTTTCCCATTCCATTTTCTTTTTTTGTTTATTATTTTTATTTACTTTCTTTTTTTTTTAGTACATTTTTTTTAGGTCTTTAGGCTCTTCCAGGTTTTACAATTTCTATATCTTAATGTATTAAGGGTAGAGGGATCGACATGGCTGATCATATGGCTAAAAAAAAAAATCATTTTTTTTTACTTCGCTATAAAGAAAACTCCCTCAATATTCTATGTAAAACTGTTTAAAAGTACTCTTTATAAAGCTAGAGTTTCTGTCTTTCAAATAAACTTTAGCAAAGTATAGTACAAATAAGGTTTATGACAAAATATTACACTATGAAGTTGTCATTAAGTTGCGAATCTCCTATGGTAAGTTGCGAATCATCTAGAGATAGAACATATCTTCAAATCAACTTAAAACTTATAAAACTTTACAAGCTAATAGAATAATAAAAAAGAATATTTTGTATCAAAAAATTATTATACATTACTTATTCAAATAAAATTTTTTATTAATACCATTTTATTTTTTTATTATTAGTCATATTTGCTTTTAAAAGTCCAAATACACTCAAAAAGACTAATAGCAAATGATTAAATATTTTAATAAATAAAATGAAGTGCATGTGTATACTCTTTTTAAATGTATATTTAAAAAAATTCATATGGTAGTTTGTGAGAAATTACTGCTTTTCATGTGATGATCTACATTTTTTAGTCTACTATTGTATATATGTTGTGGTATAAATACACTCTAGTGACTCTACCCTTAAAAAGGTACATTCTCTTTTTTTGTTAGTTTTGTTTTTAATTTTGTTCTTTATTAACTATATTTTTTTTTTCTTTATACTGTTCTTTTAACTCAACATTATATGACACATTTTGCTCTTAACTTGCTTTTATTTAGTCATTAACTTTTTTTATAGGTTCATTTTTCAATTTAATTATGGGGGGTTTCTTTTTTCTTTGCCAATATATAAAATCTTTTATTTGCCCAATTATATAATCACTGAACTTAAATTCTTCCATATTAGATTACTGGTCAATTTTATGTAGAAGAGGAATAGTTTTCTTTTTTTAAAAAAATTTACGCCCTTATATGTTGTAGTAGATATCTTTTTTTATTCTTTAATCTTTAAGTTCTTGCTTATTTTCTAATTTTTATTCTTTACTAACTATCTTTTCTTTACTCTATACTGCTCTTTAACTTAATATATTTTACTTTTCTGTCACGAATTTTACTTTTTAACTTCATAGGTTTCATCATTATTTTATTCTTTAACTTTTTATATGAGTTTCATTCTTTATTTTTATAGCTTTATTCTTTTGTTTGCTTTGTTATTGTCATGTGTTTTTTTATGTATATGTACCATAATTACTAGTCCTGTTAAAAATAAATAAAGTACAAGTTTTTTCTAATTAATAAACTTTAATTAAATGTTTTTAAACTATTATAGTACAAAAAAATTTTACAAATAAAAGTGTTGCAAATTTTCAGTAATGAAAATAAATTAAATTAACCAATCAAAATTGATTAGTGTAAAATATAAATTTTTAAGAGAGGGTGATTTAATCTGGATTATTTAATCTGAGAGGCAAGTTAGCAAAACTTATGTATTATAAATTGAATTTTCTAATAAAATTTTAAATATACTGCAGCAATAAATAAATAAATAAATAAAGTTTTAAATTTAAATTTTCAATAAATTTATTTGGAATTTTCTTTAAAAATTAAATTTAAGTTATATATATATTTTTTAGAAGTTTAATTAACTTATATATATAAAATTTATAAATATATATTTAAAATATTTATTATATATATTGGTATTTTGATGATTGCATCCTTCTGGGTGGATATAGCTCATGATAATTTGTTTGTATAGTATATAAACTTAATCTCAATAAAGTATATATAAATCATTAAAAAAAAAAAAAAAAAAAAAAAAAANCAAATGTTTTATTACATAATTTTATAAAATAAATTAATAAATTTATAAATTACTTAATATTTAAGATAAAAAAAAATAAATATAAATTTAAATTTTAATAATTAACAATTTCAAATATTAAAAATCATATTAAAATAAACTTTCTGTTTACAAAAATATATAAATTTATAATTTATAATATTTTTGTATTTTTCATTTCAATTTTATTACAAATTATATTTCTATTTTAATTTACTATAATTTTTACATTTTTACATTTATTTAATAAAATATGAATATTTAATAATCATATTTTTAAGTAAAATTTTAAATATTAATTTTTTTTTTTTGCTACAGCACATATAGAACTTTATTAAGATTTAAAAAAAATAAGTTAATACAATACATATAAAACTAATAACAATCCTAATTTAATAAAAAATTATACCATCTGCTAACTTCGGCGAAGTAACTATGTATGCACTGTCAATAAAGGATTTAGGCTAAAAGAGTAAGTCCATCTTGAAGGTGTTCTTTCTTAAAAGAGTCTCCCTCCTCCCAGTCTATACCATAAATGCTTTCAAGAACTCACTGTTACTGCAGATGAAATCCATTATGAATAAAAAGAAATAAAAGGAGCAAAACAAAAAAGTTGGGGTAAAAAAAAAAAAATTAAAATAGGGGTAACTAAAAAATATATTAGTATGCTACAGATACAAAGTCTATTATAATGTCTACCACATTTTACCTATAGTTTTCAAGGTTGAGCAGTTATCCTGTCAGTTCTCAAGCCTTCTTAGTAATGATCTAATTTCGGCCAACAAAGTAAGTTTACCAGATTCACTACTGTCCAACCTTTCTTTATATTCTTTAGAATTAAAGATACATATTTCTTTTCAAAAGGCTTACTCATCTTAATCTTGTTATCTGCAGTAGTTAGTCCAACCTTGTGAGCTGAGTTTTGGTTTTGCTTCTGATTACAGCCACTTCTTGATAGTTTATTACAATCTTTAGATAGTTAAGACAAGAAATACCTAGTTCAAACACCTTCATATTCTTGCAAGTTCAACTTGGTATTCGTGATTTTATTTAAATCCACCTAATTTTTGTAATATGTGATGAGTTTGTGGGTACTTTTCTTCTGAATCACCTTAAATGCTTTGCATCCCAAATGTAAGATGGGTGATTGGGAAGGGTCTGAAAGATATAGCATCGAAGTGGTGACAGTTTCAGATAAATATTTCACCACAGCCTGAAATCGTTCTCTTTTTTTTCTTTATTGCAGATTTCAGTTAGCAGGATAGGAAGACCTCCTAAAAGAGCAGTCCAGACTTCTTGATTCTATAAATTCATTGCCTACTTATTAAAGTCAATTGAAATGGTGACCATTAAATATTTCTTCTGATGTTTAGTCTTGAAAGCAATTATGTGATCCCATTTCTCAAGATGTTGAAGAATTTTGAATTGAGCCCAGATGGAAAGAATATTATATAAAGTAATCTTTTGAACATTATCTTTAAGTTCTGGAGTATATCCAGTCATTACTGATTGTATTTCTTTTAGAGGAATGCGTTGTTATTTCTTTTTAGCTAGCTGAGCCTTGCTATCAGATGCTGTACGCTTAATCACGTTAATTTTTTGTCTATTACCAGGTAAAGTTAGGGAGATGTCACAGTTACTTTCTACATCTAAATTTCTGGAAGTTATTTCTGCAAATATAACAGTTCATTCTTTTTCTTTTGGAGTATAAAGTATAGCTTTGGTATTCAATTTTGTGAAACTCTTTTTAGAGTTCTTTGTTGAAGATTCTGCAATCACTTCCTTTAATTGGTATTCAGTGTTTTGATCATCATGTTCTACATTCATTAATTGGTATTCGATATTTTCAAAATTTTCCATTTTCATCAGCTGTACTTGTATTAATACTGGCGTATCATTAGTTAGTTCTGTTGACGTAAATTGCATTACTTGTTCTTGGATTGTTTTCTCATATATAATTCTAATTATCAAAATCCCATCCTGACTAATACAAAATCCTAACAATTACAAAATTCCAAATTTTTTTTTACAAAATATTTTCATATCAACTTGCAAAATTTTGTTATTTATTAATTTAGTAAAAATGCTAATACTATATGTTTAGCTTTATATCACTTTTGTAAAATATTAGTATTTAATTGAATTATTTAATTTTATAAAATATATTGCTATAAACAGGGTTGTGGTAGTACACCTGTACTAGCAAAATTCTAGTACGTACTGTACTAGCAAAAATTTCGTACAAGTACTAAGTACACTGTACTAATACAATTATTACTTTTTAGAATATAATTTAACCATTTTAGGTAGATATCATGTGATCAATATTGTTTATATTTATAAAATTAACCAATAAAATTTATTAATAATATATACTAAAATTGTACAAGTACAGTACTTAGTACTATACTATACTGTACTAGTACTGTACTAGTAAAATTCCCAGGTATATTTTTTATATTTCTATGTTAATATTGTATTTTTTTCTTCTAATTTTTAACTTTTAATATTTTTTTTTAGTTCTTGATCTCCTATTAAAACTTTAATATTATAAAAATAATGATTTGGAAAAGAATACATTACTAAAATACGAACAAGTATATATCACGCAATATGCATCTTTACCATCAATGACTAAAGCTTCGAACGGTTTGGGCTAAACCGGAAAACCGATCCGAAACTGGCTCAAAATTCGGTTCAGTTCAGTTTAATCTGATTTTTTATAAAAATGCGAAAAATCGAATAGCTGGCCATCTAGTAATCGTACAAAGTCGAGCCATATATCATTGGATTCATCTCGACAAGACGCGTCGAATGGTGGTAAGATCATGTCTCTAGCATGGATAAATCACATGTTAACCCACGCTAAATGATTTATAAATAATTGGAATTAGCAAGCTATCTATCGATGCTAAAGACATGATCTTAGCACCATTCGACGCATCTCGTCGAG